TTTGCATTTTGAAGAATTATATATTCTTGAACACAAAGGTGGATAAGGCTGTGAAAGTTTGGCCCCAAATTTGCTGACCTTGTAAAATGGTACAGCGGGGTGATATCAGCCATCTGTCTTGACTTTGTGCTACAGCTGTGAGAAACAGATGCTAAGATGCTGGTTTATCAAATAATGTGGGGTAGAGCTGTTTTCCATTTTGCCTAAGGCTGAAGCAAAGTGGGGGGGAGGGGAGATGACAAAAGGGTGTGCGCTATGAAACCAAGAGCTCACTGCTGCATTTCCCTCTACACACTCAAGGACATACCTATACTGCAGACTTAATCTGCTTTCATAGCCAGTCCCTCTGCCCAGGGAATCATGGGAATTGTCTACCTGTATGGGTTTTGCATGCATAACCTTCCAGGTTCAATCTCCCAGGCATCTTCAGGTAGGGTTGGAAGAGACCCCTGCCTGATAACCCAGAGAGCTGCTGCCAGCCAGTGCATCATAGATGGATCAATGGCCTGACTCAGTATAAGGCAACGTTCTACATTCCCATAAGGGCCAGGGGGTCACCAGAGAGAAATTCTCCACCATCTCACCAAACCAATTCCCAGGTTTATTCCAGAAAACTATGCTACTTAACATAGTTGGAAAACAATTTAATTGTGTAGCATAGCTATAGTCTGAGAAGCATACCAGGTGTGGGCGAATCAGTCTATTTCCGGTCTCTACAACTTTTGCAATCGTTTTGTAATTCCGTCCCCTTTCTGCATTGACAGATCCCACATATGTATATAAATACATATCTCTAAGCACATTTCTTCTCAAAATACACATGTATTATCTCTCAAAAGACACACTTACAGATGCATTTGTTCTCTCAAAATACACAGCATTTCAAAATGTATTTCATTATTTCATTTTAACAGAGAACGGTGTGGGAAGTGTGAAAGCACGAGAAGAACTGGGGTGGGCTTTGGGTTGTGGTACCCTGCTGGTGGAACTCTTTCCCTACAGAAGCCAGCCTGAATTTACATTTGTTAGGCACTAGGCAAAGACCTTTTCCTTTGTTTCCTCCATATTTTTAACCTTGGATGTATTTCTGCTATAATCAATTTTAATTCTGTATTTTACTATTTTAGCTGTTCCCCATCCCCTTCCATAAACTGTTTTACAACTGTTGGTTTTAATATCTGTCTGCGATATGTTATACCTTTAATTGGTTTATACTTATTTAACAAAACTTATATACCACTTGGTTGTAGTGAAACCTTGAAATGGTCTACAAGAAATATTAAAATTGCCCAGCAAAATATTTTAAAATAAATACTGCTTACTTTTTAAGGGAAGCAACAGTTGCAGCCTGGCAGACTCCTTTGGGTGGGGGGTGGGGCTGCCCCCAACCTCCCTTGTGGCCAGCTATTTTGCTTTGACTCCGGCCAGCCACAGAGAATGATGGAATAGGCCACCTAAAATTTTAATTTATATTGGCCAATGAAGGCCTTCCTGCAGGGTGGGGCTTCGATGGTGAACAGGAAGGGGTAAGGCTTCACTCTGGTCCACTCCTGGGATATTTAAGCTAGCTGTGCTGGGTGACAGCAACACTGTCAGCAGAGCACGGTGATATCTCTGGGTACCCTGGTCAAGGGGTCTGATTGTAAAATTCTGTCCCGCGGCACAACTAGAAAGCTGACAGGCCATAGAACTCTCAGATGGTGGACTTGGGGTCAGCTCAGTTGACCCACATCAAGAAGTGACCTTAACCCAAGCATGACTCTGTTCAACATCAGCCTTTGGACAGGAGGCTGATTTAGGATACATACACAATGCTTGAGCCTACATACATACCCTACCAACATTTGTAGTCAATAAAGTGTGTCACGGTCCAGGTTACAGGCAGTCGGGGTCCCAGCTTGGTACGTTGGGACTGGGGTAGAGGTTGGGAAGCAGCAATCAGCAGTCCAGGGGTCAGGAAGCCAAGTTTCCACGAATCAGGAAACCAAGAGTCCGATGGTCAGGAAACCAGGAGTCAGGAAACCAAGGGTCCAAGAGTCAGGAAACCAGGAATCAGGAAGCCAAAGCACAGCTAGGTGGCTAGCACGTTGCTGTGGCAAAGAGCCAGGGGGAAATGCTGGTCTTATATACCCCTCCCGGCCCTTGCCACCAAGTGCTACGAATCTTCTGTCAGGCCTCACCTGTGCGGTCGTGCCTTGCCCTTCCAGGCCAAACTCAGGAAGGCCCCAGTCCTGCGAGGCTCTACCAGTCACAGGGCCTGGCTCCTGCACGCACTCCTGACAAAGTGGCGGTCATTTTTCAGTTCCAAAACATTGTTGTATGATTTTTCGTCCCTGTTTGCTGCTGCCACACCCCTCTCCAGGACACACCGTTCATGGGCCCACAAATAACCTTATCCATAAAGGAGATTAAAACATGTTGACACCTACATGTCTGGATAGGCTAGCTGAAACAAAAAGTTTTAAGAAGTAGCCCAAAAAGAATACATTAAAGGTGCCTGCCTGGTGCCTGCCAGTTTACAGCATAGCTGTCAACTTTTCGCTTTTCTTGTGAGGAATCCTATTAAGAATAAGGGAATTTCCCTTTTAAAAAAGCGAAACGTTGACAGCTATGGTTTACAGTCAATGTAATTATATTATTTTGACCCACCTCCAGCTCCATTTGGGAAGAAAGGGTGGATTATACATTTGAAAACACACCAACTCAAATAAATTTATATTAATTATTTGTACTTGTCGGCTGCCCTCCACAGCAATGTCGGAGTAGGGAAGACAACCACTCAACTGAAGTTATTTTAAAGCACCGTGGAAATTTTGAACTGAAGGCTGGTATAAAAGTATTATATGGGATGTTGATAACAACAACAACAACTAGAAACTAGAATGGAAGCATGGGATTTTACCACTAATATTTGGAGTGACTTCACTGAACATATACAAGGGCCATCATTTCTTTAAAGCTGATAATTAAAAATACGTGATTGCTAGCATGGATGCAACCAGCATGAACCATTCTGGGAAATGTTTGGCTTCAACCCCAAGTAAACTTGGTTATCATTCCCTTTGTGGAGCTCCCGCTTGCTATGAGTTGCATTGAATTTTACAGGCTCATTGTCAGTTCACGGTGCAAAAAATCTATATGTACGCTGGCAGATGGAAGGAGGGTGAGGTCGTTTACTGCTTATTAGAGAGGAAATGTAGTCTGTGTCCTACGGGATTCCATATGAGATACCTCAATTGAAGTGCAACATTAAAATAGCAGGCTTGGAAGCGGATCACATTACATTCTTGCCTTTTATAGCAACACCTTCCTCGTGTTATTATTGTAGAAATGCTATGCTGTCTTGGTTTGTTTCACTTCCATTTCTCATTAAGCCTCTTGAGAAGCATGGGCCTCTTGCATTTGGGAAGCCTGCTACAAGCATTATTGTTTCTGCAGAGCAATCACAAAGCACCCTGAGAGTCCATTATATCTATGTCTGAGACATGACAGACCAGAGAGTTCCAAAGCCCTAGAAACAGCTTTCATGACTATGGATGATCTTGATGCACGCCTGATGCTTTCTCACAGTGGAGGAAGTTTGCATCCCATCAAACTCAGTGGCAAACTGTCTAATTTGAGGAAAGCTAGAATACACTCATGGTTTTCCCAGAGACACAACAATGTCCATTCTGTTTCTGCAAATGACACAATATCAGGAGTCGCTTAAAAATTTGCCTTCCAGTCTGCACACTTTTCCTTGGGTTTTCAGTCCCAATCCTTGTTCTCTTCAGGTTGAGGGAAACTCAATATTTAATTGGACATATACTTCTAAATGTCAAATATTTATATTCAAATCTATTAATAAGGCAACTCAATTCAGGTTGTAGCCAAATAGAAACATATCAACATAAAATATACATAAGAATTATAAATAAGAATAAAAAGCAAACAAATGTAAAAAACAAAACCTAAAATCTTAATTCTCAAGGGAGGCCACATGGCAATGTCTAAGTTGAGCAGTCTTCAATGTGAATTTAGCTGGCTGTATTAGACATTACACACGTATCCAAACCACACAACAGATCCTATCCATATCACTATATGCTTCTAAATTCTAAACTCTTAATCAAGATAACCAACCTCTTGCAAAGTCTATCTTTTTAAAGCATTTATATTATTTTCTGCTGCAACAATATACAAAGGTTTTGCATTATTTAAATTTTTACAGTAGACCACGCAGAGAACCTTCATTATTTAGTGGTTTGTAAATACTGGGTGGTATTCAGTGCTAGTTTTACTCACAGAAGATCAGGTGAAGTTCATAGACGTGACTCAGGTTCATTAATATCAATTTGTCCACTTAGCTGAAGCCAATTCAACAACAAACTTTTTGCACACGTACAAATACTGAACATTAATACGTTAACCCACAGAACCACACTCAAGAACAAATAACACAATCCCTCTTTCCTCAACCTACTGATTTCAGCACCAGCAAATCTCCTTGTGTCAGGGTGCAGGATTGGGACTTTCACTCAGGGAAGCCAATCTGGCCCCGGAATGCAAGTTTTCCTGGTAGGCAGTCTAGAAGGGGTAGAGTCTACCTAATGTCTAAATCTTACATTTGTTGTCAATAAAGTTGTGGCCTGATTTCACCTAAATATTGCTTGTCATGTCTCTTAATCTTGGTATTGGGGATGAACAAAGGGCAGGGGTGACGCTTTGCCATGCAATTCACCCTTGCCTAAGATTTTTTAAACATGGTTCTCCAGAGGTGATAATTTCACTCCAAATGGAAGTCTTTAAACTGTATTTCAGCCATTTCTAATTAGGCAACTTACAGTACATGTCATTCAGTTCATTTCTTGATAAATTTTGGGTGGATGGGGCAGAGAAGCCCTATTTGGGTGCTTTGTTCATGTGTGAAACCCTCACGAGAGTAGGGGAGGCAGGGCAGTGAACATGTTACACTCTGCCCCTTGTTGCCATTGCCATCACCCTCTAGCCCATAAAGGGCATAGGTCTGAATGGCGGCTCCCTGTGCAATTTATGACCATGGTTATGCAGCATTCTAAATTGCACTGGAAGCCTCCACTTCAGACCTTCATAAACTGGAATGTGACAGGCACAGTGACAGGGGACAGAGTTCAGCATGCTCATTCCCATTCTTCCTGCTCACAGATTGGTTTTAACCCTTGACAAGGTTATAGTCTTGATTTGATACTGATTAGCAAGTTCAGGGGCTATAACTGAACACTGTTGAACCTTTTTGCCTTATATTTACAGGAATTATTGACTGTGTGTACAGTGGGAGGAGACTATATGTATTTATTTTGATCACTCCAGTCTAAGTATATGTATTTATTTTGACAACCGTGATCCAACTAAACCTAAGTGGATTTATTTATTCCAGTGGGAGATTTATAGTGGAATCCTATGCACACTAATCTTGGAGTAAGCTCCATTGCACATAATGAGACTTACTCCCAGGTCAGCATGCAAAAGATTTACTGCAAATCCATTTTAAGCTGAAACGCTATACCTGGGAGCTAGCCCCATTGAGCTCAACATGGCTTATTTCTGAGTAGACATATAGGTTTGCATTGTAAATCTAGTCAACTAAATATAATGAGGTAAAGGCACTTATTCAACTTTAGCTAGTGGATGCTTGCTTTAAAAAAATTCCTTCTTGAAATTGTAAGATAGCCCATAAAATATTAATATTAATAAAATATTAATTAGCAATATACATAAATTATATGAATATAACACATTGTCAGAAATTGTGTGTGTGTGTGTCAAACATATATAAATACTCATCTTAGGCTACAAACCTGATGCATTTATAGGATTGTTCTGTTAATCAAGGAAAAATAATTACTTTCAAGCTTTGACAAGCTGCATTTTTTTTTAAAAAAAACCTTTTTATTGCACTTTACAAAAATAAAATTATCCTATTCCATTCTCTTGGCAGGTAGCAATGTTATTACCTACCTATTACGGTACTTGTCATTACTAATAAGTCCAGCTTGGAAGGCAGCTCTGGAGGTGTGCTCACAGAATTGGTAAGTCAATTTATATTGACACATTAATCAGGAAGTCCACTTTTAACCACTTAAAACAATCAAATGGGGAAATGAATTCTACAATTGAGGGGCCACTGCTAAAAAGGCCCTGCCTCTGGTACCTCCCACTCTGATATCTTTCTAATAGTCCAGTGAGCAGGGCATCCTAGACCAATCTCAAGGCCAAGACAGATTCAGGTTGTATTCTGCACTAGTTCATGTTTACAGACTAGAAAGCATTACAGTAGTCTTGTCTGTTATACCCTTGGTGTGTATCACTAAAACTGGGTGTTCTTTCTTCAGATACAGTTGCAGTGGCTGAACTAGTTTAAAAACACTCCTGGATTTGCAAGCCTTCTGTAACAGAGCGCATTGGAACCAGGAGAACATCCTGATTATGTACCAGTTATTTCAGGGGAAGTACAAACTCATTCCAAACTGCTTGCACATTGCATCTTATTTAGAGCTCACTAGCGCTCTGATCCCAGTTGAAGTGATTTCTGGGAGCTATCCAAGGTCCTGAAGAGTTTGACCTCTCCTGCTATCTAGCTCTGTCTGTCTAGATATTTATGTGACTTGATACATAATACTAACGGATGAGTCTAGACAAGTCCTAGTCAAGTCAGTCAACTTTATTGTATGTAGCCAAAGGCCTTTGCAATTGATGACAGAAAATAAAAGGAAAACTTTAATCTAAAATCATACAACGTAACCTGCAAGTGTTTACAACATAAAATAAATTTACAGCATTTAAATTTAAGATTGGGGTGCATTCACTTAGCTGGAACAGAGTCTTGTTTGCAGCCTTATGGGCTCTCAACTTACTCAACAGGAATGCCTGTGCATCTTATAATATTATATATTGACACTACTCTTTTAAACAACTAACCAAAAAACTTAAGCATTGACTTCTTATGTAGATTTACATCAATCATAATTGCCGAATGTTGCAATTCTGTATACACACTTGTCTGAGAGCTTGTCTCATTAAACTCATTAGCACTTACTCCTGAGTTGACTGCCCTAGGATTGCAATATATATGTTCATACATTTTTAAAAAACCATTTCAGCAGAACTCTACTTTTCTTCAAAGAATTCAAAACCCATGAAAAGAAGTTTATATGTTGATTTGCAAAAAAAATTAAAAGTTCCCACCAGCTGTATTTCACAATTATAGTTTATTTTAATTAAGGGGGAGAGAAAAATATCTTGTTGTTTCAATTAGAAAAGTAGGCCATCTATAATGAATTCAGTCAGGAAGACCATTCTAGTCAAAGTCAGTTTAGGCTCAGAGAAGGGTGAGTTGGAACTCTTTCGAAGGGCTGCTCCTGAGAAAAGAGGAAATAAATTACACGGCATAAGAGAGAGGGCTGTGCAGATGGTGAGGGACTGCTGTTATATTAGCAGTTGAGACTTGAACTTGGCAAGAAGCTGAAATAGGCAGTAAAATTGGAGCTGGGGCTTGGTTAGCAGGTAGAAAGAGATGGTGTTTGCATTAAGTTTAAGCACAGAGAGTTTGCTACAAATTGAAAATGGGACAAGATCGAAAATGGGATCCCAATAAGTAGTTGTACAGCAATCCTACAATAGTGGTAGTAGTGGAAGATTCTGTGACAGAGCAACTGTGGCCTGTCTAATGGGATGTAGAGGTGCATCTCTCTTTCTTTTTGTAGGGGAGGAGAGAGAGAAATGACACTCCCTAAACAATCTATATGTGCCCACAGACCTTTAAAAAGGGTGGTGACCTTATCTACGTTCAATTACAGAATTTTCACATTCAAATTAACATAAAAATCCCAGCAAACTTAATGTCATCCTCTGGCAAAAATTTGAAATTTCAGCATTTGACTCTATTATTCATATATTCAATATTTACTATTCATCATTATTGTTTCCTGATAAGGCTATAATCTCTTGAAAAAAAAGAATCTGTGTTCTTTTAAATGGAGTCCTTTAGAAAAGGGGGGGGGGACCCTCTCAACCTGTTGGTAGATCTCAGGAGGAGATCGGCAAGGATTTCTGACTCTCAGTTCATTAACAATAAAATCAAAAGTACAATGGAAGTAACTCCAACTGGTGTTCTTGAGGTTCTAGTGAAAACCAACACAGAGCTCACAAATCTGAAGTCTGCCCACCCCTGATATACAGGTTAGAAAACACTGGAAATGATTTGGTTAGATTCAAATAGAATTATTGGGATGGCTGAAGGAAGAGATAGACAGTAAATATTTCAAATAACGCTAGTTTATAAAATTAGCACGCAGATGGAATGCAAGAGGAACCCAGATTGTGTTTTCTTATGTGGAGAAGGTACTATCTTAAGCAGAGATATTTCACAGTGGAAATATTACTGTAATATTACAACACCCACTCCTTTTAGTAATATATGGTAATGTTCTTCCGTACCATTGTAACAATGAATTTACTAGATAATATTCATAATTCATAGAACAGAGAAGAGGACCCCATAAAAGCTTCTCCTAGTGCAAAGCTGCACAAGAATGTGCTGGCTCACTGTGACCAACAGAGTGGATTATCATGTACAGAAGTCTCCTTCAGTGGCCTTTGTGTGGTATAACATTTTCACTGGCCCTAGCACATGGCTTGTTCTGAAGAACAGCAAAGAGATATGAAGCACTTTACACACTTAATATTCACTGTGAAAATAAGAATGCCTCACCATACAGAACCAGCTGTTGCCTTTTTGCAATTTAATCTTTATTGATTTTAAATATTGAATTCATTCATCACAAAAACAAACAAACAAATCACATCAAATACAAAGAAAATGTTACATATAAAATAAAGTTATTTCATATGTTGAGTCTTCCATCCTCCTCAGTATGGGTCCTATGTTTCCTTGTTGACTGCATATTGTATGACCGTTAACTTATCATAAATTGTCTATAATCTTTGTAGCATATAACATTGCAGAAGTTAATCAAAACATGCCAAAGGTTTCATATGTGGACAATGGTCTTTCCATCCCAATTCAGTCTTTATTAGTATATAAACAATACACACAAAAAAAATTAAAACATAACTTGAAAAAGAAAGAAAGACAACACTGAAACACAAAAATATTACAAACAGACTATTTTCTTCACTGACAATGTTCTCTTAAGTACAATCTATATATATCCCATTCTTTGTAAAACTTTTGGTTTGTCTGGTTCCTAATTTTTCCTGTCATCTTTGCCAGTTCTACATATTCAAATAATTTCGCTTGCCACTCCATTTTAGTTGGTATTTTATCTCTCTTCCACCATTTGGCTATCAGCATTCTTGCAGTAGAGGTTGCATACATGAAAATCTCCCTCAGTTAGCTGTTGCCTTTTTGAACCTGTTGTCAGATAAGTTGCTGTCTGGAATGTTCCAGCTGAGACATCAGCAGTTCCTCATCTGACCTCAAGGTGGCATAATTCAGGGGTCCTCCACCGCAATCTACAAAGCCATGTGGTGTCGTGAGTCTGAGGTATCCATGGGTTTTTTCTTGTAGTATTGCTGTGATTCTTTAGCAAACCTCTAAAGATTTTAAAAGAATACAAATCATAAATACAACCCTCTGAAAACAGAGTCACAACTGCTTACAAGAAAAAGAGATTTTCCCCTGTAATGACAGCAATGACAAATGTTCAGTCAGAACTCAGGGCATAATTTAATGATTCCTCTGCATTTTATCTAATTAAATTTTTTTTGAGGGGCAGGTAGGAAACATTCTAGAATTCAGTTTAAGACACTTAATATGCTTCCAGTAAAAAATGTTGAAAATTATTGAAAAAGAATGAAACTGCATTGCCTCTGTCAAAATATTGAAGCCGAAAGAAGTAATTGGAATAGGCATTTGAAAGTGGGTGAATAAAAGAATGTCAGAAATACTCCTCCACCTTTTATGCCATTTGGTTAAATATAGTTCAGATCTATAGCCATTTGCTTAATTAAAGTGGAAGCAAAAAGCTAGAGGCTCCAAGTGATGAAAATAGAATAAATCACCAGAAGTTGGAAAGGACTTCAATTCAGAGAGAATGTGACTGCACGAAACATTTTTTGATAAGCCATGTGGTTGTATATGACTTAAAAAAAAAAAAGTGTTCAGGCAAAAATCCAATGCATTGTAATTCCTTTCCAAAACAGGCTCATTAAAGTGCCACTGTTATCTCTGCTAGCCTCTACAAGCCCCACAAAAAGCATAGGGCCCTTCCCTTTTCTCTTTCCTATGGGAAGTTTAAAGAAGTGAGTAGCATTGATTTGGGGAGCAAATCCCAGTGCTTCTCCTTAGCAGCTGCCCTAAAAAGAACCCCCTCTCTCATCAGTCACTGGACTTTACTATCCAGCATGCTTCTTTTCAGCATAGTGATGGATAAGGAAGAAAAGTGGGAGCGAATTAAGTGCATTAAAACAGTATTTATTGACAAGACAGGGAGCAATGAGAAATGCAAAACATTTTATCCAATTGATCATCTTTAAGCCTTGCTAGTGGGTTTTCACTCAAGTAGAGTTGCAGCTTTGCTCTGTGTAACACATGTCAGAAAAATATGGTCTCATAGATTCAGAAAGATTAATGTTACTCCTTCTGCAGAAAATGCTGTTAAAACAGTTATGTTGAACACCTTCACTTTGGGTACCACTGATATTTAATTAATATGGTGAAGTTACAAGAATCCAGAAGATTCATGAGCCACAGGAATGAATCTAGCTGTAGTTGATCTCTTTATGAACTAGAAGGTTCATTGGCTGTGTGGAAAGGATTTCTCTCCATCACTAGATTGCTGGGCCGATGTGGCTTACCCAGTTTAGGTGCATTTGTCATGACCGCAACATTTACCACTATGGAATATATTTGCAGAAAAAGAAGCAATGCTTCCTGAGGCTGCAGTTTAGAATGCCACTAATATATCCTAAATTGTTTTTCCTGCTCACAAAAATGATTATTCAAGGTCCGATTCAATTAAATCTGTTTTTATTTGCTTTCTCATAAATGACAATTCCTGCCTTCCTCTGAGAGTTGAATGATCTCCATAGATGAGAACTGTTTGCTTTGAACACATAAAGGGAGACCTGGTTCAAATCCCCACTCATCCATGAGTGTACTGGGTGACCTTGTGCCAGTTACTATTTCTCAGCATGGTGTATCTCATTGTTGCTGTGATGATGAAATGGAGGCGGGTGACACAAACCCAAGAAAAACCATAATCATGAGCCAATTTGCCCACTTGAAGATGGTTTCTAAGTATCTGCAGAGAACCTTTAGACTCAACTTCTAGATTATTGCAGCCAGACTTCATCTTCCTACTGACATTACTGAATTAAGCCCAAGATATAACAACCAGGATTTCACCAAACTGTTGTACAAGCTATTGCAGAAGGGAGCCTTTTTGCCCAAGAAACAATAGCTCTGTGTTTGACAGTGCAAGGCATCATAGGGTGCTGCTGTCACTTCAATCCTGCTGGAGAGTGAGAAGTCATTATCAGATTTGCTTTGTCCAGGCTTGTCGAGTATTGGCAAATCCTCCTTGATTAAAAACTTGAAAGGGCATGACTGCCAGCTGTGCCTTGTGAGCAACATCTGTATTAGAATTAAACAGCATGGGGAAGGGACAGTAATAGATTTAATGGAGGGGTAGCACACCAACTCCTTCCAGATTTAAGAGCTAGCCTGGCAAATAAATTCTATTTTCTCTTATTGCTTTTTGACAAAATTTTAGTACCAATTGTGTGGAGAGCCTGATATTCATCTCTTGAAATATATATATATCTTTTTAAAATGTATTTGCCCGACTTCCGGGGTGGCGCCATCGGTAATGGCGAATTCCCTCTGACTCGGAGGGAACTGGCCCTGTGGAAATCGGGTCTGCACCGCTACGGCGAAGCGGGGACCCTTCAAAAATCACAGGCGGGTGAAGCCTGTGACCGTGGGACTTGGCGGGCACCTTTTGCACCCCCCCCAACTTGCAAAGGAGCCCGATTATGGGTTCCGGAGCGGAGCGGGGAAGTGGCACAGTGCTGTGAGTCAACTGCTTCTTCCATGGAGCGAAGCCGCACAGCCATTACCGGAGAGCGCTGCCTTTTTCCTGGGACAATTTGGCTGCAAAACAACGATCCGTGAGTAGGCTAATTTCGGAAACAAAGGAACTAAGAAATAATTTGGCACTGAAGCGGAGAGGCATAAACAGGAAGTCTGCCTTCCGTTCTTTGTAAATGGAGTAAAGCAATGAACTTGTAAGCGGAAACCTTGAAAGACGTTGGAAAAGGATTATAATTCGAACATCAAATAAGCGACTTTCCCCCCTTGATTGCAGGGGAGGAGGGGGGAAAGGTCTGAACTGTATTTCCCCGCAAAAAGAGAGAAAAAGAAGCTAAAATCCACCGCTCAAAAACCTGGGAACAGGTTGCCAGTGAACAGTAAGAATGCCGTATTGTGAAATGCGCTGCTGCTGAAAGTACTCTTTGACAGTTAACTCTGCATCTGAGATACAAGTAAAATACAATATTTCTGACTGGCTTCTTCTGGTTTTAAAGTAACAGAAAACAATTGAGATTGAAACTGTCGTCCTTTCTGTGAATTGGGGGGCTAAAGGAAAAAAAGTTAATTACTTTAAGACATTTTTGACTGTTACTGTGTCCCCCTAGAGGAAGTTTGAAATTGTTACAATAGCAGCTGGGCCAGGGGAATTTTCCACTTCAAAACAAATTCTGATCGTGAGACTGACCTTGGACCTTATCTAGAGTGTTATGGCAGATGGAAAGGAGAAAATAGATTTGCTACAGGAAAAAGCAACGAGGTCTGGCAGACTATTTCGTACAGACGGTGGGCTGCAGCAAAGAGCATCGACATCTGGCCCTTCTGGATTACCAACAGGAGCCTCATCGGCACAACCTAAACCCAAAGGAATGGCAGCTGAAGATGCTTTGGCTCAGGCACTTGGTAAAATTAACGAATCTTTGGAAAAAATAAGTAAACAAGTAGCCGAAGCATCGGGCAAAATTGACCAGAATACCACAAGTATTAATAATTTGGGACAGAAGGTAAATACCAACACAGAAACTATTCAGAAATTACTACAGGAATCTACCTCGACACGAAAGACAGCTGAAGAGGCAAAGGATATAGCAACTGCTGTAGAAGAGAAGATACCACCGATACACAAACAACTTGAAGATCACAGGTTAATATTGTCTATGATTGAATTGAAGGAGAAGCAAACCAATTTAAGAATCAGGGCTGTACCTGAACTTGAGAAAGACAACTTGATTGATTTTCTTACGCAGGAATTTGCAGACTTTTGGAACCCAGATTTGGAGAAGGACAACTTCAAGATAGTGAGTGCTTTTAGGCTTGGAAGAGGAGGGAAGAAGAACAGGGTGAGAGACTGTTTGATCACCCTCCAAACAAAAGAGGAGAGAGACAAAATCTTGAGTCTGCATTTCCAGAAGACTTTGGAAATTCATCAGTCAAAAGTAGAGATATTTAAGGACATTCCGAAATATCTTTTGGACCTTAGGTCCAACTATAGAGATTTGGTCGCCCTGTTGAGAAGCAACGGAATCATTTTTAGGTGGGAATTCCCCAAGGCCTATCCTTTAGTTACAAAGGGAAGAAGATAAAAATAAGATCAGAGGACGACAAAGATAGATTTTGGAGAGACCACGGAGAAGACTTGCAGAAGGAAGCTGCAGAAGAGTTAAGAGCACTAGTAAGTGAAACTTTAGACATACCAAGATTACCTCCTGAACTAAAAGACCGCCTGGAGAAGGTGATACCACCGACAGATCAGGAACAGGCACTGGGTGCAGTTGGAGGAGAAGCAAAGTAACTACATCATGGCTCTGCAACTATTAAGCTGGAATTGTAATGGTTTGAACTCCCCTCAGAAAAGGAAATCTGTGTTTCATTTATTAAAAAAGGAACAATTGGACTTGATTTGTTTACAGGAAACACATGTAACAAGGCTACACAGGAAAGTACTGATTAATAAAAGACTGGGTCAGGAGTTTATTTCTTTGGACAAGGTTAAAAAAAGAGGGGTAGTGATTTATGCAAAGGAGAGACTATTACCGAAATTTATCTTTAAAGATGACCAATGAAGATTCGTGGCAATTGAAATTCAAACACAAGGAGAGAAATTTTTGATAGTAGGAGTTTATGCACCAAATGAGGGGAAATCTGAATTTTTTAAAAAGTTGCATGAGACCTTGATGGACTATTTGGACTATAATGTGATTTTGATGGGAGACATGAATGGAGTGGTATCTACACATATGGATAAGGCACAAAGACAGGTAGTCACTAAGGATGGCAGATTACCGAAAACTTTTTTTGAGATGACAGACAACTTGGACTTAGTTGATATTTGGAGAACAAAGAATCCCTTGACCAGAGAGGGAACCTTCTTCTCTGAAGCCAAACTGACATGGACAAGAATTGACCAAATATGGGTAACTAGAGGAATGGCACCAAAGATAAGAAAAGTGGAAATCTGCTCAAAAACCTGCTCCGACCATAATGCTGCAAAGATGGAGATGAAGCTAACACCAACTGGTTCCTTCAGATGGAGGATGAATGACACCTTATTCAGAGATGAAGAAGTGTATAAAAAGGCCCAAAAAACCTTGAGAGACTATTTTGAGATAAATATGAACATCAATGTGGAAAAAAAGAGTAATCTGGGACGCTAGCAAAGCTGTTATGAGAGGGTTCTTGATACAACAGAATGCATTAAAGAAGAGAATTCAAAATGAGAAGAAGGATAAAATTTTGGAGAAAATAAAAGAAGGTGAAAAGAAATTGAGAGCAAAACCTAAGTCGCAAGAGTTTTTGATAGAAATAAAATTATCTCAAGTACAATATATGAAAATGATCAATCAGGAGATAGAATGGAAAATTAAACAAATGAGACAAAAACATTTGAGTCGGCTAATAAATGTGGGAAATTGTTGGCTTGGCAAATGAAAAAAAGACAAAAATTAAATACAGTTACAAATTTAGAAGTGGAAGGAAGGAATATACAGAACCCAGCCGAGATTAGAAATTGTTTCCAGAGGTACTTCAAACAACTATATACACAAGGACCACAGAAAGAAATTGATCTAGATCGATTTTTGAAAACAAATGGATTACAAAAAATCTCTCAGGAAAGTAAATCAATGTTGAACTATAAAATAACTGAACAGGAGATAGAAGGTGCCATTCAGAATATGCAACTAGGTAAATCTCCGGGACCGGATGGACTGACCTCTAAATATTACAGATCCTTAAAAGAATGGTTGGTACAACCTTTGAAGGAAGTCTGTAACGAAATAATGGATGCGAAAAGGGCACCAGAGTCGTGGAAAGAAGCGTATATTACACTTGTACCAAAAACAGAGACTGAAAAGACACAACTTAAGAACTACCGTCCCATCTCATTGCTTAATGTGGATTATAAAATTTTTGCAGACATTTAAAAAAGTGTTAGTGGAAGATATTCATAAAGACCAAGCAGGCTTTCTCCCGGGTAGACACTTATCGGATAATGTGAGAAACATAATTAACATTTTAGAAAAATTACAAGTGAACATGAATACTAAAGTAGTTTTGATATTTGTGGACGCGGAGAAAGCTTTTGACAATATTTCCTGGAGCTTTATGAAGAAGAACCTACAGGGGATGGGGGTAGGCCAAGGCTTTGAAAACGGTATAAGTGCAATTTATTCAGAACAAAAGGCTAAACTAATTGTAAATAATGTGGTGACGGAAGAATTTAAGATAGAAAAAGGGACACGACAAGGTTGCCCAATCTCCCCATTGCTTTTTATATCGGTCCTGGAGGTTTTGCTGAATATGATTAGAAGGGACCAGTTGGTTAAAGGTATACAAGTCAGAGCCAAACAGTACAAATTGAGAGCATTTGCAGATGACTTAGTATTGACGTTACAGGAGCCAGAATCTAGTACCAAAAGGGTTTTAGAACTGATTCAAGAATTTGGTCAGGTTGCAGGATTCAAACTGAATAAGTTAAAAACCAAGGTTTTAGAGAAAAATTTAACACCGATTGAGAGAGAGAGGTTTCAGAATGAGACAGGCTTAACAGTGGTTAAGAAAGTGAAATACCTGGGGATTAACATGACAGCAAAAAATGGGAATTTATTTAAAGACAACTATGAAAAATGCTGGGCCGAAGTGAAAAAGATTTAGAAATTTGGTCAAATTTGAAGCTTTCACTGCTGGGTCGTATTGCTGCGATAAAAATGAATGTATTGCCTAGAATGTTGTTTTTGTTTCAAACATTGCAAATTGTGGACAAAATGGACTGTTTCAAGAAGTGGCAGAGAGATATTTCTAGATTTGTCTGGCAGGGCAAGAAGCCTAGAATAAAATTTAAAATACTAACAGATGCAAAGGAAAGAGGTGGATTTGCCCTGCCAGACCTTAAACTTTATTATGAATCAGCAGCTTTTTGCTGGTTGAAAGAATGGCTGCTTCTGGAAAACGCAGACATTTTGGACTTAGAAGGTTTTAACAATGTATTTGGGTGGCATGCATACTTGTGGTATGATAAGGTCAAAGCACATAAAGCATTTAAAAACCATATTGTCAGGAAAGCATTGTTTAATGTTTGGATAAGATATAAGGATCTACTTGAAAATAAAACTCCAAGATGGCTGTCACCGATGGAAGCGAAGGCTCTGAAAAAGCTCAATATGGAGGCCAAATGGCCGAAATATTGGGAAATTTTGGAACAAGGTGGAGATAGATTGAAACTGCAGAGTTTTGAGAAATTAAAAAAACAAAGTGCGAGACTGGCTTCATTATTATCAGATAATGGAGGCATATAATTTGGATAAGAAAATTGGCTTCCAGGTGGAAAAATCAAAATTAGAAACAGAACTGTTAGAACCCAAAACTAAGATTTTGTCAAAGATGTATAACTTGCTGTTGAAATGGAATACTCAGGATGAAATGGTGAAATCTGCTATGATTAAATGGGCTCAAGATGTTGGACATAACATAATGATGGCTGACTGGGAACAGTTATGGACCACAGGTATGAAGTTTACGGCATGCAATGCCTTAAGAGAGAATATTATGAAAATGATATACAGGTGGTACATGACACCAGTCAAGCTTGCAAAAATCTATCATTTGCCCGACAATAAATGTTGGAAATGTAAAGAAACTGAAGGTACATTCTTTCACCTTTGGTGGACGTGCCCAAGGATTAAGGCTTTCTGGGAGATGATCTATAATGAATTGAAAAAGGTATTTAAATATACCTTCTTGAAGAAACCAGAGGCCTTTCTCCTGGGCATAGTGGGCCAATTGGTGTTAAAGAAGGATAGAACTTTCTTTATGTATGCCACAACAGCAGCAAGAATACTTATTGCAAAGTATTGGAAGACACAAGACCTACCCACTCTGGAAGAATGGCAGATGAAGGTGATGGACTACATGGAATTGGCGGAAATGACCGGCAGAATCCGAGACCAGGAAGAAGAGTTGGTGGAAGAAGATTGGAAGAAATTTAAAGACTATCTGCAGAAATATTGCAAAATTAATGAATGTTAGAATGATGTTAGAAAGAAGTTAGGTGGTTTAAGCAGTAATGCTATAAAGGTGTATGTAAAAATGGATCGATAACAGGTGAAAATTTAAAGTTATAGTACATTAAGTTAAAGGATTAAGAGAAAATAAAGAGGGAAAGAAATTGCTGAATTAACTAATTGAATTGAAATACAAAAAAGGGAGGTATGAGGAGGTCAGGGAAACAAGGATATGAATGTAAGGCATGGAAAGATTGATCTATTTTTTTAAAGTGTTTTTTTATTCTTTTATTCTGTATTTTGCATTTTTCTTGTATTTTTACTTCTGTCTTTTGTTTTTGCTTTTATTGTTTTTATGTAACTCTTTTTTCTGAAATTTTAATAAATATCATTAAAAAAAAAAAAATTGCCCATCCAATGAGTGGTGGGGATAGGGAAGAGAATGCTTGGCTTTTCCTATGAAAAGCCAGCAGACCCTGGGATGTTGTGGATTTTAAAGGATAATCAGATACCTGCCTGAAAAGGCCTTTGCCGTTTGTTGGCTTTCAGCAAGATCACCTGAACGACAGGCACCCACACTGCTTTTTGTCAAAGCGGACTGAAGATTTGGAGGACAATGACAAAAAAGGAAGGTCAGTCAAGTTCAAATGAATTCTGAGTAGGTATTGTAACTTTAGTCCCTGCTGTCGCCTCATTGAAGGTAATGAATAAAAGGCTGCTGGCCATTATAAGGGATGGGGTGGCTGAACCTGGCATGGGGGGAAATGGACTGAAGTCCAAACTAATCCTCTTTTTCTGGTTTAGTTGTTCCTGAGTCACTCATGTGGTATGAGAGGGGCTGACATGTGGCATGAAAAGTTCACCCACCATCCTGAGGTTGGAACACCCGCTGACAATTGCATTTGAGGACTTCAATAGCTACATAAAAACAGTCTTATCAGGGTCAGATCAGTATTTCGTGGTCTCCATGGCAACCCAAAAGACCGTCTCAATAGATATTTGGGCCAAGACATATTATAAGTCATACCCTGTTTTTTTGCCAGCTTAAGGGACAGACTACTCATCTCCACTCCAACTTTGACACTGCTATAAGTACAGTGGTACCTCAGGTTACATACACTTCAGGTTACATACGCTTCAGGTTACAGACTCCGCTAACCCAGAAATAGTACCTCAGGTTAAGAACTTTGCTTCAGGATGAGAACAGAAATCGTGCGGCGGCAGCCCAGCAGCAGCGGAAGGCCCCAATAGCTAAAGTGGTCTTCAGGTTAAGAACAGTTTCAGGTTAAGAACGGACCTCTGGAACGAATTAAATATGTAACGAGCGGTACCACTGTACAGGCATCCAAGTAACTGTCTAATCTTGTTATTTGGGATCAGATTCTATTAATGAGGTCTGAGTACGTGGACAAGATGCTTGAAGGAATGTGAGCAACTACTTGCTCTCTCAGCACCTGCCTGTCATAGCTTAATAGAGCTAGCCACTATCTAATGCCCTTAAACGCTTGGGACTTAGGTATCTGTTGGAGCATCTCTACCCTTACCAGCATGCCCAGACCTTGAAGTTGGCAGAAGGATCCCAGAAATGGTTGTGCATTGTGTAGGGATTTGGGGAGAGTGTTCTCAGCAGTAATACCCCAGCTACATAAATTCATTTACCTGGAGGCATGGATGGCTCCCTCCACAATGAGCTCCTGTTGCCTAATAAAAGCATATCCATTCACCCAGGTTCTTGGTGATTAAGTTCTTAAGTACGCCCACACTAGATCATGGGAGAGTATTGTGATGTAGTTCTGAAACCACAGTATTATTGTCACGTTGATTTTATGACATTTTATTTGCTTTACTGTATAAATGTGATGCTGTTTTAACTGGCTGGGTTTACTGCATTGCCAAAAAATCCAGTGTGGCAAAAAGCAGCAGACAGTATATAAATGTTGAAAACAAACAAGTTGGGCGGGCAGCAAGGTGACTAAGTAAGTAAATCAATATACCCAGAAAATGGCTTCAGTTTAATGGAACTGTGTCTTAACTGAGATTTTTGAAATATTAAATTGTAATGTACAAACATACTGTATTAGATGGCTTGAATACCATTCCTGTTCAGGGGAAAGGCTTCAGTAGTCCTCTAATGATATAGTTTCCACAAGGCATCTAATTTGGGCATAGAACAATCAAAGCACCCTATAGATGTGAGCTATTTCAGCCTGTTCTCAAAGTAATTAATATCTGACCATGACTGGAAGGTGCATCATATTTATCTCTCCATCAGCGGAAGAATTTTTTTAGATATGCCTTTTATCAACTATCAGTCACAGTCATCAGACACAGAAAGGAGGAGGAGGAGGAGGAGAAGAAAAAAAAGAAGAAGAAGAAGAAGAAGAATAGATGGTTTATGCAGAAATGTCAACATTTTTATATGCTTTGAGGCTTGGAGAAATATTGAAAAATGTTTGAAACCTTTCTGTTTGTTTGAACATTAACCTGAAATGTCAAGTTTGAAATGATGAAAGTCAAAAGTGAAACAAATCGACAATGTTCCAGTGAAATCTGTAAGTTCAAATGGGGGAACCATATTTGAGTCTAACTTCTCATTACACTCAATGTTTAAAGAGAGCCCCTGTTCCCAGGCAAAAGCAGCACCAGAAAGAGGTGCTTTGCAATGGAGTGGGGTGGGTCTTAACCCTTCTCCACCTGCTGCTTCTTGGCTCTTAGTTGTCCTTCCCAAAGGCATTTTTTTTATCACAAATACTGGCATTTAACATGTAGTAATGACTTCAACTACATCTTTTCACCTTGTTTGAATTGAATTGAATTGAATTGAAGGACAGTAAGACACTTCCCTAAAGGCAAGAAACACACCTTTTTCTAGTGGTTCACAGTGTCCAGTGTCCATCATCCTGGAACAATGCAGATTCTCAGTGCTTGTGGTGACATCCTCTGGCTGGTGAGGTGTTATATTTTTCCTTAATATTTTAATATGTTTCTATTTCAATTTTTTTTTTTTTTTAGAAATGTTTAGAATCAAGAGGAACAAACAAGATGCATTGCATCCAATAATCAGCCTAAGGTTGGTCGGATTCTCTGCCCTGCTTCAGGGTCAGAGAAAGGGTGGGGACCCTCCTTGGAGAGTTTTACACAAGATGACTTTCTGCATCCCAAAGCATCTCTGCGACTCAGCACAACAGGGACAAATTCTCTCCCTTTTCAGCATGCAGGAGGAAAGTATAGGGCTTGCCCCCACATTTGTGTTTGCATTTAGAGGTGACTGGAGGGCCTTTAAAGGGATGACAAGACAATCAAGACAATCAAGACCACATCTTCTCCCCTAGGGAAAGGCGGGGTCAATGTCAAGCACACAGTTTGTGGACCCCTAATGCCTAATCTGTGCCTGCTTCTTTGGAGCTTAATTCATATATTTGTATTTCTAACCCATTGCTAGCATTCTTCTCTGCAATATCACTGGAAGAATGCCATTTAGCTCTGTCTAGAAAATTGCTTCCTTTTCACATATGGATCAACAGAATAATAAAATTAGATCATCCCTCGGCATTTTTATAATCAAAATGTAGAAATCATATAATTGTTATTTTAGTATAATTACTTCTATGTTATGTAACGAATACGTGCGTAATGAGATCTGTCTTTTAATGAATTAAATTTGAATGGAATATATTGAAATATTTAACAGGAGCATCCTGGAGCATTAAAATAAGCATAGCAAATTAGGTACACATCAAAATGCAGCTCTTCTTGCTGCTTCGGAAGATATAGCCTTGTTTGCATGTGTGTTTTTACTGCAGACCTACAACCTAACATAAGGCCAGTTAATTCAAGTCTACATTTAAAAATCAACACTTCCTTCCTTCCCAGTTACCCCCAAACCTTAAGCTTTAAAAGGCTAAAATATGTTTTAAAATGATACAAGAGAAGTAGGTGATGGCTTAGAAAGGAGTACTCTGTAAAGTTGGTACTCACTTAGTGATGTGCAAACTGTTTCATATACGCTTAGGGTTGCCATATTTCATACCCAACAAACAAGAAGTCATCTGAAGAAGTGTGCATGCACACGAAAGCTTATACCCAGAACAAACTTAGTTGGTCTCTAAGGTGCTACTGAACAATTTTAAAACTTTAATTTATTTATTTCGACCGCGTTAGACCAACACGACTACCTACCTGAAGGAAGTCATCCCTTAGTGATACATCAATACCATTTTATGGGGCTGTTCCATGCACCACACAAGACTTCTCATACAGAGATCTTGGGTAGTATCCAGCAAAGTAGTTCTGCTAATGCAATGGAACTTCCCCTGCCTTTCCTAGCACTGTATGCCCCTATTGCCTTCCTCAGAGGCTTTAGACCATTCCCAGAACAGATTTAGGAGGCATTTGGGGAATTTGCAAATAGAGGAGAGGCAGTGGAAGTTTTACTAAGCTAAAAAGCTGCTGCACATTAGAAGAGCATTGCAAATGAGACTTTGGATCCTGGGGTTTTGAGCAAGATCCACCAAAATTAAGCACATTTAAATGCCATTGATTTTAATGGGAAAGTTGATGATGTGCTTACTTTTCCCCATTTGAAATCAATGGGACTTAATAGTGCTGAACTATGGAAGGGTTGGACCCTTCATCTTACATACATTGATGTTTCATATATTATTATACAACCTTTTAAACTCCCATTCCTCCTACTGTTCTTTCTTTTCTTTTGCATACCCACAATTCCTTTCTTAGCATATTAGGGAAGAAGAAGAAAACATAAAAGATTTTCCTTACAGCCATTAAAAGAAACCCTAATGATCAGTAGAAAAAAAGAGCTATTTGGGGAAATTACAAATAAATGAAACAGTGTTTTGAAATGTTAAATTCTTGATTAATCATAAAACTCTATGAACACAGTCTGAATTTCTTCAAAGTACTTGGCATTCTCTGTTATAAAGAAAAGGTCTGATAGGTTTTCTGGATCATACATAACTTAGGATGTAATTGGGTTTTCCGTTCTTCCACCCAATAATTAATTTACCAGCTCCAGCTTATACCAAATTTGCTTACAAAAAAACCCCCATTTGTATATTCTAATAATTTAAGGGTTTGTTTTTTTTCTGAAAGTGTAGTCTCATTTTGTAAGGAACCAGAATTAACTTTTTAAAGATATATATGGAAATGTTTGAAACTCAGATTGTCAATGACATTGCCAAATGTAACTGAATGCTGAATCTATGTAAAATCTCTCTTCGGTTCTAATTCAGATGAGTTCATCATGTAATGATAACTGAAATGGCATGTTATGACTTGGTTGTGTGGAATGGCTCCCACAGATCTGTTATTGCATGTTGAACTTTTTATTATTTGACTTGAGAAATCACCCCCTTAATTCTTTATGTCAGTTGGTCCTGTAGCTATTTAAAGGCTGCAGTTTAAAGCATACAGTTAATAGAAAGTGTTGAAAAGCATGGTATATATATATATGTGTGTGTGTGTGTGTGTGTGTGTGTGTGTGTGTGTGTATGGAAAAGCTAATGTGCAAATGGAAAAAGCTCTGTGGTTTTCACTCAAAATTTTCTTTTCAGTAGTTGCCAGTGCAGTAGAACAGAGCCACCCTCCTCTCATCAGCAGCATCTCTTCAGCTTATTTGAACAGGACAGGCCTGGGTGGAGAAAGGGCAGCAGTGAGGACATGACTTTACAGATGTACAGATGGACTGGCTCCACTAGTTTGTCTGTGCAGCCTTGTCATTGGTACTGTCCTACCCTTCCAGCTATGTGATGCCTGTGATGTGAGGGTGGCTGTGCCCCACCACAATATGCACTTTGCATGGTAGAACATCGCTGTGTGATGGACTAGAAGCCACTTCCCCCTAAAGCTGACTCCCTAAATCCAGAATGCCTCTGATGAAGAAAACACTCAGTGCTCCTAAGAACACAGGACGTTTCACTGAGAAGAGCATGGAGAATAGAGGCAGAAGGTGGTACCCAATCCATTCATTCTCTCCCCCTCAAGCGAGTCCTACATCATTGCCAAATCTGCTCAGGAACCCCCAGAGCATTTTGGGTGTGCACGGTGGGAGAAGAGGAGGAAAATGTTCTATTGAACAAGAAGAAATGCTCATAGTGGTGGAATGTTCATGTTAGCACTACTTTGGATGCAACCCAGAATTAATGATCAGACCTTTGCATCCTTTTTCAGCTTATGACAACATGGGTGGGACCTGTCAGTAAATGCTGCAATGTATCCTCAGCTTCTAGTAAGTGTAAACACCTGTTCAGAGTTCCTGCCAGCCAAGAAGACCCTCCTGCAGATAGTATAAGCTGTAGGAACATAAGCAAGGCATTCCAGCCTCTGGTTTTCACTTTCCCCACTGATATTTAATATCCCATAGCTACTGCTCAGTCCTCAGTGGACTGTTTTGGATCCCCTCACCCACTTAAGATTGCTTGTACTTTTGCATATCTCAGGTTTCAGTATGCTATTACCTCCCTCTTGTTTCTCAGTGTTTCCCTTTGGGCTCTGCTTCTCTCAGCACTCACCCCCTGTGTTCACTATTAGAGCATATGACAGCATGTGCCTCACACTGAGTTCAGACAAGCAAGAAACCAATTGCTGCTCATATAAAATTGTCTTGTACTTGGTCCCCTTACAGCTTTATTGTTGAAACAGGGACATCATCTGAAATAGTTCACCAGTTTCATTGAACCCAAATAACATGTGCTTGTTACAGAACAGTTTCGATGGGCAAATATATGCCTCAGTATGAAATTCAAGTCTCTCCCCCCACACCCTGCATCTTCTGGCTACTCTTTGAAAGTTAAATAAGTCATTGCACTTTATAAATAACTATTGATATTTCACATAAGACACTCTAAACATACTTCAGGGCACAGGCCCTATTGATTTAGTCATTACTTTCAGCATTTTCTTATTTACCTCATCCAAGATTTGCTGCATGCTGCGTTTTGAGATAATTCAACAGCTGAATTTTAAATAGAAGAACCAGTCATATAAGCTACCCAGTGAAATGAGCACATTAAGTATTTTTATACCTAATGTTACTGTGATTTTTTGCAGAATCACAGCTAAGCAAATGTGTATCTTTACTGGACCTCTGTACAGTAGTCCAGTAGCAGATGGAGAAGAAAACTTAATTTATATTTTAGTTTTTATGGGTTACTTTTACTGCTATCTCAGCTGCTTTCAAAAATCACAATTACCTTCTGTCAACATGATCACAAATCACTTTTTTATATACTAATGAAATCATATTTTTATTAATGTAAGCATATATACAAAGTCAGACCACTGTGTATCTATCTAGTGCAGCAGGGGTTGCTAACCTCTGGCCCAGATGTCAGAGGAATCCAACTCCCATCAGTTCCAACCAGCTTGAAAAATGCTCAGGAATGATGCAAATATAGTCCATGCCATCTGACCCCAGGCACATGGTTTAGCTCTCTCCAGACAACCATGACCTATAGCCAACATTTGTTTCAATATGTTTTAACCAATTTTAAATCTGAATTTTAAATTGTTATCTGCCCTGGGAAATGCTGGTGAAAGGGGTTGTAATAAATTTAACTAGCAACAAATAATCCTATGGTTTGCAGTTTGCGGTTAGTCCAAGAAGTTAAACCATAAGCCCAAGTTCTGGTGACATGGTAAGCCACACCACAGCTTGGCTTAGCACAGTGCAGCAACAGAACAAGCAAGGAGGAGCCAAGTGGTCGCACTAAGCTATGGTTGCATGTGAAGCTTGGTGGCTAGGAGTGCCTTTTCATCTCCAGCTGGTTTGCCAGCTACTCCCTGTTTGCATCCAAATGACTTAGCCACTATGTTCCATGCTCTGGTAACTTTCAGACTGGGTTACTGCAATGTGCTCTGCATGAGGCTGCCCTTGAAGAAGTCTCAGAAACTTCATCTGGTTCAAAATGAATCAGCTAGATTACTGGCTGGGACTCCATCACATATATCAACTGGTTTTTTGTTGTTGTTGTTGTTGTTTTTTAAAAAAACTTCATTTGTTGCCAGTTTATTTCTGGGCCCAATTCAATATCCTCACATTTGTGTTTAATGCCCTAAACTGCTTAGGTCCCAAATATCTGAAAAACCATTTCCTTCCCTACAGACTTTCTCCAGTGCTAAGATTGGCAGAAGGGACTTCTAAGTTATTCTGCTGCCCTCAGAAGCTCAGGTGGCAGTGGCCTGGGAGAGGACATTCTTTGCCGTGAAACTCCCTCCCCACAAATGTGCATATGGAAATGTTATTATACAGTTTTTGGTGAAGGCTAGAGACAGACCTCTTTACCCTGGCCTTTGACACCCCACTTGTAATTGTGTTTTTTAATTGTAAGTTCTTAAACTGTATTTTAAAATTGTTGTAACCCACCCTGGGACATTAGAGGTTGGGAAAATCCTTCTCCTAATCATCACCATCACCATCGCCATCATCATCATCATCAGGCCATTGAATGCCATCTTCAAATATTTGATGGGCTGTCACATAGACTGAGGATGGAAGCCAAACCAATGTCTGCAAATAAGATGAAAGGGATTTCTGCTAAACATTAAGTGAGCTGTGAAGCAGGCTACTATGGAAGATGATAGACTTTCCTTCCTAAGATCTATTTAAGCAGAATCTGGAAGGCCACCTAACCAAAATGCCTTTGTGCGCCCTTCTAACTCAGGTTCTGTAATATGCTTGCTGGTATTTTAGTCTATGATAGCATTGTGGTTGTGCCCAGTGCAGCTCCCTCAGAAAGAGCATTTCCAGGAGAATATGCTTTTTAAAACTTCTAGTGACTCCTGAGAAATTCTTCTGATGCCAAAGAGTTGGCAATTTTGACTTTATAAACATCCCGTTTCAAATCTAAACACGGCCTTCGATATCTATCACCCATGGTCCACATGAACCCATGGCACATCCCTAGAGCTATCAGCTTGCAAACTGCTTCTGTAGTGACTAAAATAAATATGTGAGTTTACAAGAAACAACAACACCCCACCAAAAATATATGAGCAGAACTAGCTCATTTTTTTTAGTCCTTTCCTCCCCGCAAAGAGAGGTCAGCAGCACCTTTGCTTTCTTGCTTCTTTTTCTCACCAGCGATGCATTTTCAGCCTGCTTTGAGTGCAAGAAGCATGAGATTAGACAAATGTGTAATTACTTCTTGACCTGCTCTCCTCTGTTATACATTTTCATGAGATGCCATGATTCATTATTTGCATTGATATGTACAGAAGGCTGGGGCTGCTTCGTTGATATTCATTTATTCAACAGTCTGTAATCTATATTTAATGGAGTACCAGACTGTGGCATAATAAACCGTTTAAAAAAGATAGCTGCTGCTTACACGGAGGTTATTGCTTGCATAACCTGTACTTATTTTTCATTACAAACCTAAAAGAGGGGAGCATAATTCATACAAGAAAATGAAGTTAACATTTAATGGTTTAAAAATGATAGTGTGCTATAACACCGTGCAATACGCTGAGTGCTTATAAAACAAAGCAGAAAAAGACCAAAAGGAGAGATAGAATAAATACAAATAAAAGGAGCATTTATACAGTATCATGGCTGCTTACCCTGAGCAATATGTTGCATTTTGTGAGTGGACAGCTTTTCTTTGGAAACAGGTAGGTCCACAAGTTTTTGCTTGCTTCTCTCATTGTTCAGACCACGTGATTCCCCTCCTTCATTTCTTACAATGACTTCCATGGCATTTCAGGATCCTGGAGGGATGAGGAGGACTTGCTTCCCTTCAAATCTCTCCATGCCTGTGTCTCCCTACTTCTCTCTCAGCTGTCATTAGGGATGTCGAAGAATTCTGACAAACCAGAATAGGAAATGGCCAATGTTTGCTTATTTATCCCATGTCCGGAATAGAAATCAATCCAGTGAATATGTTTGTTATTTGCTGTTGTTGCTGCTTCCAGTCCTCAAATGATTTGTAATTGATTGTGTGTGTGTCCCCCCCTTTGTGTTGTGTTTCCTTTGCATTGGAGTGTAAGTTTTGTAATTTCCCCCCAACAGACAGTGCAATGAGTACCATAGTTTTTTAGTATAACACAAACTGCAGTGGAAAGGAGACAGTGCTGCAAGCGATGAAAATAGTGTGCAATGGAAAATGATGCCTTCTTACACCCCCAGCTCTGTTCATGACCTTTGGTCATCCTTCTCTACCACTCTCAAGTATCCAAAGTCTCTTTCTCTTTTAAATGGCTCCTCGCTGTCTGCCGTGCCAATTACCCTCACCTATGTCCTCTCTCCCCTTCATGGATCACTGCCTTGACGTGGCGAAGGGGCTTGAATAACTCAGAGAAGCTATGAACTATGCCAAGCAGGGCACCCCAGATGGACAGGTTATAGTGGAGAGTTTGGACCAAACGTGATCCAACTGGAGCAGGAACCAGCAAGCCACTCCAGTATCCCTGCCAAGAAAACTCCATGGACAAAGACAACTTTGACCAAACTGTGGGAGGCAGTGGAAGACAGGAGTGCCTGGCGTGCTCTGGTCCATGGGGTCACGAAGAGTCGGACATGACTAAATGACTAAACAACAACAACATGACCTCTCTTCCTTCTTATACCACCTCAAAATTCACATGCCAAGTCACTGAAGACTTTGACACCCAACCATTCAGTGCCAAACTGCATAAGAATGTACAAAAAGCCTTGGTGGATCTGGCTAGTGGCCCATCTAGTTTACCATCCTGTTCTCAAAGTTGACAACCAGATGCCCATAGAAGAAAGCCAGCAAGCAGGACCTGAGCAAAACAGCTTTCCCCTCCTGTGGTTTCCAGCAACTGGCATTCAGAAACATATTGCCTCTGACCATGGAGGCAGAGTATAGCCATTCTTTCCATCCTAGCTAGTAGCCATTGATAGCCTTGATGTTAGATTGCTTGCTTGAATGCAATCAAGATGCAACAATATGGCTTCAAGGTACATTCGGTCCTGGGGAAGCAGACTCATCTCAGATGCAGCCATCAGGTAGAAGGAGTAAGGAGAGGGAGAGGGAGAGAAGGGGATGAGGGAGAAGGAGAGAAAGTGGAAGCAAGGTAGTTGAGGCCTGGCTCTCCAACCTCATATCTTTTTTAAATCTAACTCAGGTTTATCATTCCAAAGTCTCCAGTCTGCCTTGTCCCTCTTTGATTTCACTTTCAAGTAGTAACACTTGCCATCAATACAAATGACAGGGCAGTATTGATGCTCCAAGGGCCTTTCAATGATTAGCTGCCAGGTTTGTCCAATTCAAAGAGCTTTGCTGAATGGAACGATGAAGAGTGAAGATGAAATCACCAGCCACGTCCAGTATCATCAATCTCCTGGGATTGACAGCCACAAATAGCAATAGATGTCATGGACAGGTATTGTTGTTCAGGGTCCCCCTTTGAAAGACAAAGTACATTGGGATTAAGGCAGCCTTTCCCCCTTTGCCTTCCTCACTGTTCCATCCCAGACCAGGGCATTTTCCTCCTGACTGGCTTTTTTAAAAAATATCACTCGCTGAACCTATGTATTATTCATGAACATTGCAATGAACCTAACCAGATTTTTTGCAACATACTGAGCATCTGCATAAATATCCCTGAAAGCACAGATCAGATCACAAGTGTTTATTAACAATCACTTTTGTCATAGTAAGAGAAATTAGGCTTTATGGATCATGTTATTTATGGATAAATGAACTCCATAGACTTCCCATGTTCTCTTGTTAATGTGATAAAACCTCAGATTTATGGGCAGAAATGTTCAAGAAAGAATTCATTTTACAGAGCTATTGTCTAGGCAAGATTTCTGGAGGCAGTGAAACTACAATTCATGGTGGTGATGTGTTTGGCCACCTTGATCACTATGAATGGGCAACAAATGTGTTGTTCACAACCACAGAGTTGTTTTTCTGGATTGTTGGGAAGCCCTTTTTCGCTTTTGGAATTCAATACTTATTTACTGTACTTTAGAAAAGGTGACACTCCACAGAGCTAACCTCTTTAAATAATATGGGATTGCAGGGGCTCTTTCTAAGGTGAGCATATTGCCTGCCTGCTGTAGGAGTGTCTGTTTCCAATATGCCTCACTTGTATATTTCTAAATAGAACTAATATTCTATTTATTAGTTAGCACCTTCAATCCCCAATGTTTGACATGAGTAAAGGAATTTGAAACCTTGACCATTGCACATAGACTTCTCATAGACCAGGCAGAGGACCTTCTCTGTAGTGGCACCCGCCCTGTGGAATGCCCTCCCATCAGATGTCAAGGAAGTAAACAACTATCTGACTTTTAGTAGACAACTGAAGGCAGCCCTATTTAGGGAAGCTTTTAATGTTTGATGTTTTATCACATTATTATTATTATTATTATTATTATTATTATTATTATTATTGCTATTGTGAGCCACCCAGAGTTGCTGGGGAAACCCAGCCAGATGGGTGGGGTACAAATAATAATAATAATAATAATAATAATAATAATAATAATAATACTGCTCTGGAAAGTGGGGTGCACATGGGCAAATTGTCTTCCAGAGATACTCATCTGCCATTATATCTTATCATGGATGGAAAGGATGCCTTATAAAGTTCTGAATAATTCCAGGATTTTGGAGCTTGAAAACTACTGAAATGGGGAATTGCAGGATAGAACGAGAAGAAACATGCAGCACAAAATTGGTATCTTAAGATAGCAGGAGCACAACATGTAGAGATATCACCCATCCTCTCTGAATGAGTACACAAGAAGAGCCCCTAGGGATCAGACCCAAGCCCCATCTGGTCCAGCATCCTGTGGGCAATCACATGGGAAGCCCACAAGCAAGACCTGAATACAGCAGCATTCTCCCAACTTGTGATTCACAGCAACTGGTATTCAGAAACCTCCTGCCTTTCTTAGGGGGTGCCTAAGAGAACTTTTAAGAAGTGCCACACAGGACCTTTCTTTGGATTGAGGCTATGGACTTTCACACACACTGTGGTCAGGATGCAGACTGAGGGCCATGCATGGCAGTTACAATTAGAAAATGTCCCTGTTGGTGCTATTCATTCACATCATTCTCCACCAAGGATTCCCAGACACACCTGTGCTGCCTCCCCTCCCCTCCCCTCCCCTCCAGGGCTGCTTGATGTCAGCATGCTGTGTGTGCATGCCTTGCACCAAGTACACATGATGTCATCACTTCCCATGGTGTGCTTGTTCCATGTGCACATGTTTCAGGGCATGCTGATGTTACTCACACATGTTGCGGGGCATGCTGGGATGTCGTGCATATACCCTGTAGCTTGCATAGACGATGGAAGCACACCCCACAGCATGCGTGCATGGCCGCCACAGAACTTTGAGTGGGCCCAGACCCTTCATTGAATTTTTTCAGGTGGTCCTTGCCCATAGTCCTTGCTCTAGTTGATGCACCTGCCCGTATACCTTCCTGGCAAGGAAAAAATGTGCCAGACCTTAAACTTTACTATGAATCAGCTGCTTTTTGTTGGCTGAGAGAATGGCTGCTTCTTGAAAACACTGACGTGTTGGACCTAGAAGGCTTCAATAATGCATTTGGTTGGCATGCATATTTGTGGTACAATAAGGTAAAAGTACATAAAGCGTTTAAAAATCATATCATTACAAAAGCATTGTTTAATGTCTGGATAAGATATAAAGATTTGCTAGAAAAGAAAACCCCAAGATGGTTGTCACCAATGGAAGCGAAGGCACAGAAAAAACTCAATATGGAGGCCAAATGGCCGAAATATTGGGAAATTCTGGAACAAGATGGAGACAGACTAAAATTGCAGAGTTTTGAAAAATTGAAAAATAAAGTGCGAGATTGGCTCAATTATTACCAAATAATGGAGGCATACAATCTGGACAAAAAAGTTGGTTTCCAGGTGGAAAAATCAAAATTGGAAACAGAACTGTTAGATCCAAAAATCAAGAATTTGTCAAGAATGTATAACTTGCTGTTGAAATGGAACACTCAGGATGAAACGGTGAAATCAGCTATGATTAAATGGGCACAAGATGTTGGACATAATATAATGATGGCTGACTGGGAACAGTTATGGACCACAGGTGTGAAATTCATGGCATGTAATGCCTTAAGATAAAATTTAATGAAAATGATTTATAGGTGGTACATGACACCAGTCAAGCTTGCAAAAACTTACCATTTGCCCGACAATAAATGTTGGAAATGTAATGAGACTGAAGGCACATTCTTTCACCTTTGGTGGACATGCCCAAGGATTAAGACATACTGGGAGATGATTTATAATGAAATGAAAAAGGTATTTAAATATACCTTCCTGAAGAAACCAGAGGCCTTTCTCCTGGGCATGGTCGGCCAATTGGTGCTAAAGAAGGATAGAACTTTTTTTATGTACGCAACAACAGCAGCAAGAATACTCATCGCGAAGTATTGGAAGACACAAGATTTACCCACCCGGGAAGAATAATAATAATAATAATAATTTATTATTTGTACCCCGCCCATCTGGCTGGGTTTCCCCAGCCACTCTGGGCGGCTTCCATAGAAACAAAAAATACAGTAAAATATCACAGATTAAAAGCTTCCCTGAACAGGGCTGCCTTAAGATGCCCTCTAAATGTCAGGTAGTTATTTATTGCTTTGACATCTGATGGGAGGGCGTTCCACAGGGCGGGCGCCACTACCGAGAAGGCCCTCTGCCTGGTTCCCTGTAGCTTTGCTTCTCGCAATGAGGGAACCGCCAGAAGGCCCTCGGCGCTGGACCTCAGCGTCCGGGCAGAACGATGGGGGTGGAGACGCTCCTTCAGGTATACTGGGCCGAGGCCGTTTAGGGCTTTAAAGGTCAACACCAACACTTTGAATTGTGCTCGGAAACGTACTGGGAGCCAATGTAGGTCTTTCAAGACCGGTGTTATGTGGTCTCGGCGGCCACCCCCAGTCACCAGTCTAGCTGCCGCATTCTGTATTAATTGTAGTTTCCGGGTCACCTTCAAAGGTAGCCCCACGTAGAGCGCATTGCAGTAGTCCAAGCGGGAGATAACCAGAGCATGCACCACTCTGGCGAGACAGTCCACGGGCAGGTAGGGTCTCAGCCTGCGTACCAGGTGGAGTTGGTAGACAGCTGCCCTGGATACAGAATTGACCTGTGCCTCCATGGACAGCTGTGAGTCCAAAATGACTCCCAGGCTGCGCACCTGGTCCTTCAGGGGCACAGTTACCCTATTCAGGACCAGGGAGTCCTCCACACCAGCCCGCCCCTGTCTCCCAAAAACAATACTTCTGTCTTGTCAGGATTCAACTTCAATCCATTAGCCGCCATCCATCCTCCAACCGCCTCCAGGCACTCACACAGGACCTTCACCGCCTTCACTGGTTCTGATTTGAAAGAGAGGTAGAGCTGGGTATCATCTGCATATTGATGGACACCCAGTCCAAATCCCCTGATGATCTCTCCCAGCGGCTTCATATAGATGTTGAAAAGCATGGGGGGAGAGGACGGAACCCTGAGGCACCCCACAAGTGAGGGCCCAGGGGTCTGAACACTCATCCCCACCACCACTTTCTGAACACGGCCCAGGAGGAAGGAGCGAAACCACTGTATAACAGTGCCCCCAGCTCCCAGCCCCTCTAGACGGTCCAGAAGGATGTTATGGTCGATTGTATCAAAGGCCGCTGAGAGATCCAGCAGAACCAGGAAACAACTCTCACCTTTGTCCCTAGCTTGCCGGAGATCATCAACCAGTGCGACCAAGGCAGTTTCAGTCCCATGGTGAGGCCTGAATCCCGATTGGAAGGGATCCAAATGGTCCGCATCCTCCAGGCGTGCCTGGAGTTGTTCAGCAACCACGCGCTCAATCACCTTGCCCAAGAATGGAAGATTTGAGACTGGGCGATAGTTGGCCATACTGGCCGGGTCTAAAGATGGTTTTTAAGAAGCGGTTTAATGACCGCCTCTTTCAGCGGATCTGGGAATGTTCCCTCACAGAGGGAAGCATTCACCACCCCGCAGAGCCCATCGCCCAGCCCTTCCCGGCTTGCTTTTATTAGCCAGGATGGGCAAGGATCAAGGAGACAGGTGGTTGCTTTCACGCGTCCAAGCAGCCTGTCCACATCCTCGGGGTAACAGATTGAAATTGATTCCATGCAACTTGACCAGACAGAGCTCTAGCACTCTCCCGCCCTGGCCCTGCTCCCACGGTGGTGTCTAGCTCCTTCCGAATATGAGTGATTTTATCTGCAAAAACTTTGCAAAATCGTTGCAGGAGATCTTGGGGTCTTTACAATGCCCCGGTGGTAAAGGTGGTTCCGTTAAATTGCGAACCACCTGAAAGAGTCTCCTGCTACTATTTTCTGCAGATGCAATAGAGGCGGTGAAGAAAGTCTTCTTCGCCGTCGCTATCGCCACTTGGTAGGCTCGACGTTGAGCTCTAACCTGTGTCCGGTCAGATTCGGAGTGAGTTTTCTGCCACCGACGCTCTAGCCGTCTCAGCGATTGTTTCATCGCCCTCAGCTCCGAAGAAAACCACGGGGCTGTCCGGGCTCCATGCAATCGGAGAGGGCGCTCGGAGCCAGACAGTCGATAGCCCTGGTTAACTCCGCATTCCAGCGGGCCACCAGGGAATCAGCTGAAAGGCCATCAACATGGGCTAAAGCTTCCCCTACCACTCTCTGGAAACCATTTGGATCCATTAAGTGGCGGGGGCGGACCATCCGAATTGGTCCCACCTCCCTGCAGAGGGGAGGGTCGCGGAGAAGTCCAGTTGCACCAGGAAGTGATCTGACCATGGCACTTCTTTTGTTTCACTTTTACTTAGTGTCAGATCACCCACGTCACTAGAGGTGAACACCAGGTCTAAGGCATGTCCATGACTATGAGTTGGGCCAAACTTATTCAGGGACAGCCCCATGGAGGCCATGCTTTCCACGAAGTCCCGAGCGGCCCCTTGTAAGGTCGTGTCGGCATGGATGTTAAAATCCCCTAGGACAACCAAACTAGGTGTCTCCAGGAGAAAATCCGCCACGACCTGAAGCAGCTCGGACAGGGAATCCTTGGTGCAGCGGGGAGGTCGGTACACCAAAAGGAATCCTGTAGTGCCCCTATTGCCCAACTTCCAGAACATGCACTCAGAGAACTGGATCTTCCCAGTAGGACGCCTGGTGCAAGCTAGTGACTTCCTAAAAATCACTGCAACCCCCCCTCCCTGCCCACATGACCTGGGTTGCTGTGCGTAAGAGAAACCTGGTGGGCAAGCAGCGGCAAGGACAGGCCCATCTGCTTCCTCCAACCAGGTCTCCGTCACACATGCCAGGTCAAATCCTCCATCCACAATCAAGTCGTGGATGGCAGTGGTTTTATTCATCATTGACCTGGCATTGCACAGCAACACTTTCAGGTCATGTGGGTTTCCCTGTTGATTCCAGTATCCATCCGGTCAAGGCCAGACCCGGAGGCAGGGATAGTCTTCAAACAACGACTAAACCTGCCTCCTCGGTAATGACATGGTCTGGTCTTAGCGTAACTCCGCCTCCTGCCCATAATCACCGAGATCGGATGTCCCAGTGCTTCCCCCCCTGTGGAACTTGTCCCAGCCATCGTGTTGGCTGGGTAGCCACTCCCAGGCAGCCCTGATCCCACCCCTTAAAAACGAAACACAAACAATACAGAACCAATAAAACAACAACAACAAGAATGGCAGATGAAGTTGATGGACTATATGGAACTGGCAGAAATGACTGGCAGAATCCGAGACCAGGGAGAAGAGTTGGTGGAAGAAGACTGGAAAAAGTTTAAAGACTATTTACAGAAATACTGTAAAATTAATGAATGTTAGAAAAATGTTGGAATGAAATTATATGGCTTTAGTAGAAATGTTATAAGCAAATAAGTATAAATAGATTAATAGAGTATTAAAGGAAAAATAAGGTTAGAATGTGTTAAGATAATTATAGGATAGAAAACAGAGGAAGATGGAAAGGAATTGCTGAAACAATTAACAGAAGTAGAATACAAAAAGGGAGGTGTGAGGAGGTCATGGAAATAAGTGAATGAAAGATAAGATATTGAAATTGTTTGATTTATTTTAAACTGTTTTTGTTTTGTTTTGTTAGTTTAATGTGTTTAATGTGTTTAATGTGTCAATGTTATGTAGTGTTTTTGTATTGTAATGTATTGTATTGTATTGTTTTGGTAGTGTTTAAATCGTTGGAAAAGCAATAAATATTAATTTTTTTAAAAAAGGAAAAAATGCTCTATCAGGGCTATGAGAGCATCTACTTCCACCTCTTCCACCTTCCCCTTCTCTATCTCCATAGCCCTTCTCTAGCTCTTGGACTTTCAAGCGAGGGAAGTGGAAGAAGGTGTCTCACAAAAAGAGCTATCCTTTGGGGATCAAACAATGAGATGCTCATGAAATCCATGGTAGTAGCAAGATTGTAGAAGCTGTGCCATTAATGAAAAAAAGGATTCTGAAACTGAAGAGTAACTGTCAAGGAATAAATTCTATTTTCAGTGAAAGGTTTTCTTTTAGCCATAGCGCCGTGACAAAGAAATCAGGGTTGGCGAGAATGTCATCCTTTTCCATATGCCACCTTCCAGATGATCTGCAGACCAACAACACCGAGGACAGCTATCGCTTGCAAATAGTTATTTGGCTTTATGATAAGTGAAGAATGGAGATGGACCAACACATGCTATTTTTGTGTTAGTTGGTGACAGGACTGTTTGCAAAGTGACAGGCCCAGAGCGCCGGGAGCAGTATACACAAGACAGCAACTGTCACACAGGCTTTGCTCTGAGTAAACATACTGGGACTTCAAAGGCTTATGTCCTCCAAAGGCTCCTCCAGTTCTTTGCTTTGAGTCCTTCTTTCCTTCCTTGCTGCTTTTGATTCTCACTTTCTTCTGATACTCGCCTTTGATTCTTCCCTTCATTTCTCTGTCTTTCCATCACATATTACTGAAGTCAATGACACCTCTTAGATCGGAAGCCATTAATCTAAGTGCATTGTTTCTCACCAATTTTTTAAAAAATCAGTTTCATCACCATTATTTTGTTATACCTCTGGATTGCATTGTAGGAGTAAAAACTTTTTTTGCCACTGCCTGAATTCCTTTCCTACCGAATTGCCTTCCATTCTTCATTTCCTTATCTCAGTGTTCATTTTTCTCCCATCCCTATGACCTCTGTCTTCTTTCCTTATTCCTTTCATTTCTTCTTCTCTTAAAATTAAAATGAAAGAACTCTGTTTATATTGAGGCTGGAATTCTACCAATACCTTTAAAGGCAGAAGTGACAGGCAAATTTCAATACTGAAAGGTACATATCTCAGCCAATGCCTGCTCCAATTGAGGCCAGAGCTGTGTGTTCTGAACCCTTAAAAAATTAAAAACAAATTATTCTCCAAAGGTGATTATATTCTATGTCAACAAAAGCCACATTCTTTAATTTAAATTATGCATATTTAGCATATTTACATATATAGGCTCATTTTGCATAATTTATGCTGCTTCTGCTAGTCAAGGGGAAGAGGGAAAAGAACTGAACTAAAAAGTATTGGAAGTTTTGCTTACTTTTGGAGCCACTGCTGTTGCTTGAGGCTTAGGTGGTCTCATTGGCACAGAGTGCCTTCAGCTAGTAGTCCAGCTGTGCCATCATCTGGACAGGACTAGCCTAACTTCTGCCACCTAGGCACAGGTAACCTCTAGGAATAGGCAACTATTCCAAAGCAACTACTCTATTCCAAACTTAAAAATGGAAAGCTTCATGCTGGTGGTCAACAGAAGAGGTTCAAAGACTCTCTCAAGGCAAATCTTAAAAAAATGTAGTATAAACACCGACAACTGGGAAACACTGGCCTGCGAACGCTCCAATTGGAGAACAGTCTTTACCAAAGGTGTCATGGGCTTTGAAGACACTTGAACTCAGGACGAAAGGGAGAAACGTGCTAAGAGGAAGACATGCTTGGCAAACCCTCACTGTGATCAACTCCTGCCTGGAAACCTATGTCCCCACTGTGGAAGAATGTGTGAATTCAGAATTGGTCTCCACAGTCACAGTTGTTGTTTGTTATCATCATATGCATTTTTTGTTTTTATATTGTAAGCCACCCTGTGATTGTCAGATGAATTTAATAGAATTTAACCAATCAATTACAACAAACACAACGGCTATTCAAGAGGTCCTGGTGACATTCCTGTACCTAATAGTTTATTGCAATGGACCAGTCAGCTGTGTGGTGTTTCTTTCTCTGTATATTGGTACTGCTCTGAAAGCTGATCCCCTGAAAGGTGCTGAGAGCCAGAAGAGGTTCTGCTCAACTGTTCAACTCCCTTAGGGGTGCCTTGGTTTTGTCGTGAATCAGAATGTGTCCAAATAAGGGAATGAATGACTATTTATTCAGACTAGTCATGCAAGAGTCTTCATGTTTTGAAAGGAGGGGGGATACTAAGCGGAGAGGGGATGAATTCTCAACAAACCAAGGGGGAAAAAACAGGTGTGTGACTGCAGCTAAGTTATCAAGATGCCCTCTATATGCTCCTGTTTCCATTTCTTAAATTACATTTCTCCTGACAAATCCATTTTCAGTCATGGTAATGAGCAGATAAACAAGGGATAGCGCAGGAGAGGTTCAGAAAGGAACCTTTCCTCATCCTCCTTCCTTTGGGAATATTTCAGTTGTTAAAAATGTATGCCTTTAGCCTTGAGATACGCAAGCCATATGCATAAATAAATAAGTGCCTGACTTGAATGTGTGGCACAGAGCTCTGCAGTGCTGAAGAGATTGGGGGGGGGGGGCAGAGGAAATCAATTGCTCCTGACTATTGAAGATGTGCAATTATTGGGTGTTGTAATTAGATAATGAAAGACCTGCTCCTAATAAATCTGTCTTATAGGTTTCATGGCCATGCCTAACCAAGTGTGTGAGTGTTTCTCTGAGCACAGGGCTAATAAATAAATAAAGTTATTTGGCTCTTTTATTTTTGCAAATGGAGACCTCTGTTCTTGCTACTAAATAACCTTACAAAATGCAAGCTTGGATTTGTGTGAGAATCCCACTTCTCACTGACCTAGAATTAGGGCTTTTTTTCCAGCTGGAACTTGCCAAAACTCAGTTCTGGCACCTCTCTGTTGGGTGCCATTGCCATTATAAGAGAACAAGGAAGGTATTCATGAAGTGTTCCAGCACCTCTTTTTCTAGAAAAATAGCACTACCTAGAATCCTTAGCTATTGAAATGCAGGCAAGCTGGGGAGGTGAAGGACAGACCCAAAAGCTATTAGGGAGGCATAGGAGTGGAGGGTCCAGATAAATGTATTATTTCTATATAGGCTCTTTTGGTACAGAATTCCAATGGAACGGCAACCATAGTGCTACAAACCTCTTGTGGGAGACACACATCATGCATCAGAACACCAGTGTTTTCTAGAAAGATAGTAAACAACAGTCCCATTGTTGATTACGTTGCTATTTTTGAAAATCATGTTGTCAGAAACTCACTGGCCAATCCTAATTGCCAAGCTCAATTGCCTCTCCAGTTGCACTGATCTCAGGCAACTCACTGCACTGAGGCTCTGGTGCCGTTGAGTCCTTTCTGTGACATTAATGGTCTAATTCCACCCATTTCCTTTTCCCCGGGGACTTGCTCTGACAGTGAGCTGGAAGGAGTTGCAAAACTGCCACCAGTGCCAGATTTATGTATATGGTAAGCAGGCTGAAGCCTAGGCCTCTAAATCTAGGGGGCCTCGCCGGCCAGCCCATTCCCCAGCAGGCAATCTCCCCTCTCCCAAAATTGCAAACCCAAGGCTTCATGTGAGGGCAGGACAACTCGGGCCTCTAAATCTAGGGGGCCTCAGCAGCCTGCCCTCTCCCCAGTGCCACAGTTGCCCCTCTCCCAAAATTGCAAACCCAATACTTCATGTGAGGGCAGGACAACTCGGGCCTCTAAATCTAGGGGGCCTCGCCAGCCTGCCCACTCCCCAGTGCCGCAGTCTCCCCTATCCCAAAATTGCAAACCCAAGACTTCATGCAAGGGCAGGGCAACTCAGGCCCAGCAACAATGAGACTCAGGGCTAGCCAGTGGGGCCCAATTTGAAGCAGTGGGGCACAACTTGAATATTTTTTTTGTAGGGCCCCAGTTCACAGCCAAAGTCTGCAAAATCTTATAGATATAAATAAAAGCCATCTAGATTGCCCTGGAGCGGGGGGTGGGGGGTGGGTCCCAATTTGGCCAAATTCCTCCAATTGCCTTAATATCAGCCCTGATGAGACTGTGCAAGGGTTGGACTGGTCCCTGGTGTTACTATTCAGAGCACAGACTAAAGGACTTGTTATGGAAATAAAGGGGGCACTTATTGGAAATCAGTTTTGTCACCTCTGCCCCCCCAAACCCCGAGACAATGAGCCCAGCCACCTTTTATTCACAGTCACATAAGCACTACAGCATGGCCATAAACCTGTATGTTCAACCGCTGAAATACACACTCAATATGTAGCAATGGAGATTTATGTTACTGCTTTATGAATAAACACTGTGTTTTATGAATGGACTCTGTATTTTGTGAATTACCTAAGAGCTACCAATAGGGAGCTCTAGAATCTGACTGCTAACCAATTGGGTACTACCAAACAGCAATCCCTATTCTGAAAGCAGGGAATGCTTCAGCTCAGCCTGAAGCATTCCAAAATACAGGCCAAAAGAGAACAGGTCTGGAAAGAGCGAGGCATACAATGGGCACCACCAGTGAAAAGGCCCTGTTCCATGTAGCTCCTGCCCTGTCATTTGATTGGGTGCCCACTTGCCCTCCCTCTTGATATGGAATGCTCTCTATTGAAGTCTCCAGGTCCAGTACAAAGACCATAAGAAGGGAGAGCAGGGACCTTGAAGTTCCCAACAGCTGTTAATCAAGCAAGCACACAGGTCACCTTTGTCACAGTCAGGATGCCTATGTCCTGGCCAGGCCTGCATCCAATCTTGTTTTTGTACAATCTTGTTTGTCCTCAGTAACCAAAATTATATTATCAACACATATGAGCAGAAAAGTTGTTTTCCTTCATTTGCAAGGAATCGTACAAAACAAAGCAGTACTAATAAAGAAAAGTTCAGGGTGGCAACAGAAAGAAAACTAAAAATGCTTTTGCGGTTCATCAAAACTATCCAGCAATCTCAAGTTATAGGAAAACTGGTGCTATTAACAGGAATCCTTCTAGTTGGTTAATTGGTTCTGCAACTTCCATGCACATGACGTGTGATGCTAATTATTTTCCCCAAGAGTTAAATGATAAGTAATCAGAGGCAGTTACAGTTGCAAATGGCAACAAAATAGCTGGGAAAGGAAGAGGAGCAGGTTTGTTCAAGTGGGTTGCAGGTAGAAATACTGTTTGTAATGAAGTTAGAGCAGTAGTTTACTTGCTCAAATTAACAAATAAGAAAGTTTTGAGAATTTAAATTCTAGATTAAAATTGATTACTTAATTGAGAAGGGGATTGTAACAAAAACACTGGGGCCTAATTAGAATAGTAGAGTGCCTGGTATCTGGTGGGCAGACCAAAGCACTCGTCAGGAGAGCTATGAGATTCAAGTGAGGGTCAGATACCTTGTCAATCCTAGCAGGTATATAACAGGAAGACCCGGCCAGCCTAGGCCTGCGGCTGGGGAGGGGCCTCACAAGTGGAGTAGCCTAGGGGCTCTCTTCATCTAAATCCAGCCCTGACTGCTGCTGAACATTTCAATTCCATCCCTTCCTTCTCAACAGTCTAATTCACTCCTTGATGTTTGCTTTAGTAATTTTGAAGTTACCCATTTATGCATTTGCATCCTAATCCTTTGTTTCTCATCAGTATGGCTGATGGCTGATTTGAATGTTATGACCTACTCCCTGCGGAGACAGCCACAATGCACTTATCCGTGTTTGCACTTCTCACAGTCAGCATAACTTTTAAATCCCACTTACCCTGTATGTTGTCCCATACTCATGCAGTGTCTGTATACCCCTAGGAGTGCCTGCACTGATAAGCACAGGCATCTATGGACCAATGTACAAGCAGCAAGTATTTTTCATTAAACAACAACAACAACAAATGCTCTAATGTATAGAGTGCCAACAAAGACATACATTTTTTTTAAAAAAACAGCATCTGCATGAAAGCATAAGATGGGCCTTAGATAATGTCAGCGTTAAGCAAATGAGAATATTTTTCATTTGTAAAGGAATAAGAAAGAGGGGTGCTACCATGAGGCAGACTGAGACAGCTGCTAGCTGGTAGATGCCGGGGGTGCTGAAGTGTTGGAGGACAGAGCAATGTGTGCCATTCAACCTACCCTGCAAGTCCTTAGCTAGGTTGCATAATAATAATAATAATAATAATAATAATAATAATAATAATATATTTATACCCTGCCACTCTGGGCAGCTCCCAACAGAATATTAAAATTGCGATAAAACATCAAACATTAAACACTTCCCTAAACAGGGCTGTCTTCTAAATGTCAGATTGTTGTTTATTTCCTTGACATCTGATGGGAGGGTGTTCCACAGAGCGGGCGCCACTACCGAGAAGGCCCTCTGCCTGGTTCCCTGTAACCTCACTTCTCGCAATGAGGGAACCACCAGAAGGCCCTGGGAGCTGGACTTCCGAGCTTTACTCGCAGCAGAGCATTGAAGGAGCCTTTACTTAGAAGGGGATTCTTTTCTCCAGTAACTTCTGGAAGGACATTGCTGAAATAGGCTCTCCCAAAATCCAGGGGATTTGGACCATAAAATAAATTCTTGCCCTTTAATGGAAGGGGGGAAAAAAAGAGGAAATCTCACATTCTCACTTCTGCTAAATACCAGGGAGCAAAAGGCATATAAACTTTTAAATGTTAAAAGTCAGGATTTTAAAATCAATGGGGTATTTAATAGAATCCAGCTCAACACATACAAAAGCAGGGGGACGTGACTGCTGAATTTAGAATAAAAGAGTATAAAAGGCTAGACATAGACCTAATTAAAAAGAGGCCAGCAAAAGGGGAATTAAAATAATGTGGCTGATGATGGCTCCCATAATTATGGATCAAGTCTCAGTGTCGGAGAAATTCATGGATGAAAATGCAAGCAATTTTCTAAGTATACCATACAGCTCTTTAAACACACACACAAACACACACAAATGTGGACTCAAGATTGGTAATTAGACCAGCTGTGGAAATGTTAATGGAGGGAAATTGGAAGAGGGTCAAAGTAAACAAACAAACAGCTTCACAACCAAGTCCTACACACATTTAGTTAGAAGTAAGTGACAGATTAGTTTTTGTTATAAATTTCTGGTAATATTTTGCTTTTATATTTTGAAGAAGTTTATCATTTCTACAAGACATCTGTTTTTGAAAACTGAAGTTAGCTATTTAGGGTGTGGCTGTGCAAGTACTTAGCCTTGCCTAGGGCACCAAGTAGCCTGGCACCAACACTGAATCTGCCTATGCACGGATCACAACAGAAGCAGACTATTGGTACTGTTTCCAGCCATGCTTTGTGTGTTTGTGTGGAGAGTGAGGTGGGAAGCCATCAATTTTACTATGTGATCTTGGGCCAGTCACCAGCTCTCAGGGAAGGCCAAACTACAGTGGTTGCAACACAGCTGAAGTTCCTCTTCTGAAGCTATCAGAGAACAGTGACCCAAATATTAAAATAAAAAAGTGACATTGGCAAGCCTACGCTTTTGAAAAATACAAGATCAAAATATATTTTCTTACACAAATTATATTATTCAGCTTCACAACAACCATAAATGCCTTGAGAGAGTAACCCTTCTTTTCCCCATGATTTCCAAAGCCTTAGTGTTCTGGATGTTGTGGCTATGTCATTCACCAGAATCAGAGAGGAAGGGACAGATGCCATAGGTATTTAAGTGCCTGCCATGAGTTAGCAACATTTTCTCTGTAAAAGAAATAAAATGAAAAGGGGTCCTTTCTGCGCCAAAGTAGACTATGCATGAGTGTAGATAAAGATTTCAAAGAAATAAATACTGGAACTGAGAAAAAGGAGGTGCATATTATTATTTAGGCAAATATTGAGGCAAATTATATCTGTGGGTAAATAGATATAAATGTAGAGTTAGTTGGAAGGGGCCATGCGGATCGTCTAGTCCAAGCCACTAAATTACAGGAATCTTTCACCCAATGTGGGGCTTGAACCCACAACCCTGGGATTAAGAGTCTCATGCTCTGCTGACTGAGCAATCCAGCCACTGATGTTGACATTTAGGAGGGGAACAAACCTCTATCTCTTTTGTCAGGGGTAAACTTGCACTCTTACATTTTCCACTTCTTAAAATGGAGTCTGCAGGAGACAGCTTAAAATGGAAGTTAAAATATGCTTAACAGAACTGTCATAAATAGGTGAGAACACCACAGTCTGTCCAGAAGGAAATTTTGACAGCCTGTGTGTTGCCTAGAGCTGTCATCTATCTGTCAGCATCCCCTACCTATTGGAGAACATCTGGTAGGGAGAGCACATAGCTATCTACCAGTACCACTTCTGAGTTTCCTTGGAAGGCCCTCCTCTGTCTTATTTGATCAAAAGTGTATTACCTGATGGCAATGAAAATAAAATTCACAGATATAATGTGCTGCTGTGCAATAGGTTTGATTTCCCTAACATTTGACAGTTTTGCGGGACAGATTCACAAAGTTTTCCTATTGTACAAATGAATCTCAAGAGCATCAGACTGTAACTCAGATATGGGAAAGGATTGTTTTGTTTTGTTTCCTGCAGTGAGAAGCAAATATGCTAGGGATTAGACTTAGTGGTTTTGAAGGATCAGGCCCAGCCATCCTTCTAAATGCAGAAGGCTTTGCAGAATAGCATCTCTAGGTAGTGGGTGAAGTGAGAGACTTTTGCCTAAGAACCTTGATGCTCTGCAGTCTGATGTAACAGTGAGTCAAAAAAATAAATAAATAAGTTTTACACACACACATGGGTGCCACACAAAATTGACCAAGAATCAGCCAACTCTGTTTACCAGAGTTGGTTACCACCCAATTCCATATATCATAACACTAGTGAATGCTCCATAGGCATAGTAGCAATTTTTAAAATAAACTTTAACTGAGCACAGTACGCTCTTCCCTTAATTGTTGGCCACCTGGATTCAGTACAAAGAAGAGCCACTGGCATTCCTGATGGTACAAAATATAGCTACTGCACTTAAATGGAGTTTGAATCAGAGCCCCAAATTTCAATGCCATAGAACATTTGAGTAAGCATTTTGCTACCAAAGATCTTCAGGGCCTTTCCTTATTGTAATAGAACTTCACCAATGCCCCTATGGTTTTCTGTGCTTTGACTTTCACTGCCTCCATATGACACTTCCAAGAGAGGATTCATTAAAGAGTACACCAAGATATCTAAATAAATGAGTTTGTTCTATAGCAGGCATAGGCAAACTTGGCCCTCCAGATGTTTTGAAGAAGAAGAAGAGTTTGGATTTGATAGCCCGCTTTATCACTACCCGAAGGAGTCTCAAAGCAGCTAACATTCTCCTCTCCCTTCCTCCCCCACAACAAACACTCTGTGAGGTGAGTGGGGCTGAGAGACTTCAGAGAAGTTTGACTAGCCCAAGGTCACCCAGCAGCTGCATGTGGGGGAGCGGAGACGCGAACCTGGTTCCCCAGATTATGAGTCTATCGCTCTTAACCACTACACCACACTGGCTCTTGTTTTGGGACTACAACTCCCATCATCCCTACCTAACAGGACCAGTGATCAGGGATGATGGGAATTGTAGTCTCAAAACATCTGGAGCACAGAGTTTACCTATGCCTGTTCTATAGCTTACTGATCCAAGCACCATCTATACCTAGGACTGTATCTACCAAAAATCACAATATTGATTCTTACAGTAATTTATACATAGGCTTTCCTGTTTACAGTATGCTGAACACCTCCAAGAGATTAGTGAGGCCCAATCCAGAAAGAGAGATGAGCACTAAATCATCTGCATACATTAAGATTAGTATCTTTCTGTTCCTAATTACTGGAAGTGTGAGTTTGCATTGGCTAAATATGGCACTCTATCATTAATGTAGAAGATTAATATTTTCTGTGTCCTTGTATAGTTCTTGGACCAATAGCAGAAGTCTTCAGTTGATGTTGGCAATCTGAAGTTTCTTCCACAGCCTATTTCAAATAATAGAGTCAAATGCAGCAGAAAGGTCAATAAAGGCTACATAAAGGCTTATTGTTCTTAGTATAAAGGTAAAGGGACCCCTGAGCATTAGGTCCAGTCGTGGCTGACTCTGGGGTTGTGGCACTCATCTCGCTTTGTTGGCCGAGGGAGCCGGCGTACAGCTTCCGGGTCATGTGGCCAGCATGACTAAGCCGCTTCTGGCGAACCAGAGCAGCGCACAGAAATGCCGTTTACCTTCCTGCTGGAGCGGTACCTGTTTATCTACTTGTACCTTGAAGAGTAAAAAACTGTTCAATGCTACTGTGTCCTCCTCTGAACCCCACTTGTTCTTCATGAACAATGTGGAAGGAGATACCATGAAAATAGCTTTGAGGCGATATCTAGCATGTTAATTGGCTGGCAGTTTTGTGGATCATTCTTATATATTTTCTTATAAATCAGGAAAATGATACCCATTTTCCATCCAGAGGGCATTTGGCGCTTGTTGTTTATGGTGGTAAATAAGCCAGCCAGGATAGGCATCCATCATTCTATGTATTCATTATAGAGCACAAGGTGGGAGCATATCTTCTCCAGGAGCTTTATTTGATTTCAGGCAAGAAATAAGGGCCTTTGTGTCATTACAGGAGAATGGTTGCCATTCAGTCAGGTTTCAGAAATCTTTATACACTGCTGGGACATGTGGTTGCTCAGTTTGACCACCAAATATATTGGAGAAAGATTTAACCCAATCAGAGGCAGGAACTGAGGCTTCCTGTGATGACCTCACATCATTAAAACCCTGGGCCACCAGTTCCCAGAATTTGTCTTCCCTCTGTTCCATTATTGCTAGTCCCAATTCCTGCCCCTGCGTTTTCGTTTATTCAGCTTCTTAGTTTATAAGAACTTTGCCAAATGTATTCCTACCTTCTGTTGCCAATGCTATAGAAAGTTGGACAAATTCAGCTTGCTTCTTCGTGTTTCCTTGGTGAAAAATGTTCTACAGTATTGGGCTGGACAAGGCAGTCTCGCCTCATGCCCAAGCTCATCTCAACCCCTGTTAATCAGTAATTAACGTTCCTTGCTTGCGTACACATGCAGAAAGAATCAGACTTTTAATTACAGCCCCTGTCTTAAGCAACCAGTTGCTGGCTTTCGCTGTTTATTTCTAATGGTTCAGATAGAAGAAAAGCAGTAATTGTCTGACAGTTGATTCATAACATTAAGTGCACACATTTCACCTTGCTTCCACTGCCTTAGGTTTGCAACACAGAAAGAGAAGCCATTTCCATTGGGTTCTCATCATGCTTCTTTGACATCTACTAAAATGTTTAGGATTTTAACATTCAGAGTATATTAATAACTCTAGAATCTGGTACCAAAGTATGACAGCTGGCACTGCAGGTACCTGGAATCTAGGTCAAATTTAGCAAATTAGGATGGGGCCCCAATTTATTTAGGTCACTCCCATTGTATTTTAAGCTGGCTTGCTGGGAATCCTATCAGAGTCAGGGACGACTCAAATTTCTATTCCTTTTCAACATACTAACATTGTGATTCTTTTTTAAAGCATAATGTGTACCCTTGATTTGTCACTGAAGAAGTAACATCATTCCCCAGCTACATGTTTTTAAGCTAAATATTATCCTACTTTAAAACTGTAGGCCATTAGATAGACTAACAATGTAGTTGTTTATCTACTTACCTAGGAGTAAACGCCAAACAAATCAATGAGATTTACTTCCAAGTGGACAGTCCTTGAAAAACCATGACAGTTACTTCTAATAAACATACTTAGGAATGGGCTATAAAATACATATGAGTCTGAGTTCATTATTCATGTGCTGATCATGGTCAAGGTCTTGTGAATTATACAGTCCTTTTTTTAGTGGAAAACAGCTCTTGCTGCAAAATGTCAAACAATAGAGCCCAAGGACAGCTCCAGAAGCCCCATATAATTGAAAGCCTAGTCGTTCAATTTGCACAAACATAAGATCAATTTTACTAAATGGTGTTAGTCTATTTAATTTAATCTGATTCCGTATTCATAACACTTTTAGACAACCCACTTCTTTCTTGGCACTATCACAAAAGCATTTGTACAATTTTACTTTTGTTGCCCACTTAGCATTGCTAATGAAAATATTGAAACAGCCTGAGTTTCAAAGTTCTGGGGACCCAGTGGTTTATTTTCTACCATGTGAAAGTTGTCTTTCAGTTCAACTCTTTATCCTGTTTCCTTTAAATTTCCCCTTATCAATTTTGTGATACCTGTATGGATTCTTACTGATGTAACAGGTGCTAGTCTAGACTTTTAACATAGTTTATTTCTATAGACCATGGCATTAGAATAGCTGATAGTTAATATAAAATACACCCCTTATGAGCCATTGGTCACCTGGTACAAGCTGCTACCTCCTACAAGATCTGTAAAGAACAGCTAGCATCATGACCCTAATTGTTAAATAAGAGATCAGAGTAGGAATTCACATATTTGCCAAGGAGTTAACTGTTTGTTAACTGTAAGCAGGAACCATACTCCAAACAGATAGTGAAGATCACTTTTAAGGTAAATTTATGATTCAGATTTTACAGAGATAAAGATGTTCTCTTTCCTAAAGCCCATGTCCTATTTACTTCAAACTTATCTCACAAAGCATAATAGTAAACCAGAAGGAACAGAAAAAAGTTCAAAGGATTTGGGGCCATGTTATTTCCTCACTAAACAAGCCCCCCCCCCTCCTTAGTCAGCATCAAAAATATACTTACATGTCAGGTTTTCAATGATTAGGTGGCTCACAGCTCACACAAAAAGTTCTGTTCCTCTCAGTAGTATATATTGGGTCTATACACATGGTGGTGTCATGGACTGGTTGAACGTAGAGGAATGTGGGGAGGAACCAGCTGAGGAACCACCAAGGAAAGAAGGCTCAGAGCCTGGGGAGTAGTGGCAGGACAATGATGAGTGATCAGAGGGAGAAGAAGAAGAAGACTGAGAAGAAGAAGTGTTGGAAGCTGAAGAAATAATGGGACTTAGTGAGCTGGGAGACTCTGAGGCAGAGAGAAGTCCAGAATAAAGCAAGTGGGAGGAGAGAGGGCAAGAGGCAGAGATGAGTCGGGCTGGTGAAGAGTCATGGGTATTTTCCCTTCGTATTGTGACAAGTGCCCACCCACCCCGTCTACCAGAACCAAAAGAGGGCTGAAAGGGGTGGAACAGTGCTAGGCTGCACACAGGTGCAGTCTCTGATTGCTGGAACAAGCCCTGGAGATGAGGGAACGCAGATGACTGTGGGGAGGTGGGGACTTTCAGTATTGGCAACTAAGACCTACCGGGGATGAGCTGCTGTGCTAATTAGGCCTAATACTCAACCAAGTCTGTGAAGATTATGTTTATGATAATGAAGAATTAACTCCAACTTTGAATGGTGTGATTTACTGCCAGCTGGAACGACAGAAGACGAGATGGTTGGACAGTGTTCTCGAAGCCACCAACATGACTTTGGCCAAGCTGTGGGAGGCAGTGGAGGACAGGAGTGCCTGGTGTGCTCTGGTCCATGGGGTCATGAAGAGTCGGACATGACTAAACGACTAAAAAACAACAGTTGCAATCCTATGCACACTAACTTGGGAGTAAGTCCCATTTAATCCAATGATACTTAATTTTAACATGAGCATGCATTAGATTAGGCCATAAATTCAAAAGGAAGGAGCAGCGTTCTTTGGGTTCCAGGTCCTGTAGCCAAATAAATGTTCACCCAGCCCACTCTGCTTAGCAAGTAAAGCACTTTGCTCTTCATTTTGCTGCCTGCCATCCAAGGGCAGAACCCATTTGCAGAGGAAGATCGCAAATTGGTGTTCTTGTCCATTTTACTGAGAATATTGCTACATTTCCTGGATGACAATTTGCATAATATAGCTCATCATGCCACCTCATACTTATAAATAAACATTGCTCATTATTCTCTTTATGAATAAACATTATTTCCGAAGTGGAGTCACTGGGTTAAGGGCTTCACTTGAAGTGATAATCTTTCTGACAAGTGTTCTGAATAGAAATGGGAACGATTTCTAAAGGATTCCAAGAAAAGAGTTCAGGAACCAACATAGGAAGGGTAATGCAGATGGAGTTCCCTTCCTCCACTGATTATGGCAATCACCATGCTACATAGCCACACAAAATTAGATTGTGTGGCTATGTAGCAGAAGACATTATATTCTCAACAATGCAATTATAACATGTTTTTGATCGTGGATGGGAAACCAGTTTGAACTCCAACTCCAATGAATCCTGATCATTGGCCATGCTGGCTGGGGATGATAGGACTTGGAGTGCAGCGATATTTGGAGAGCCACAGATCATGCACTGCTGTTTTAGATGCATTCTGTAATATAATTTATTGGTAAGGTGCACTCTCTCTCTTGTAATTTAAAGGCAAAAGCTGGTATTCTGGGACATCTTCAATAACTAACTAAAGGCCTGTTTAATAATACTGGTAATGAATACTGAATTTTTGAATTATGGTGCTGGAGGAGACTCTTGAGAGTCCCATGGACTGCAAGAAGATCAAACCTATCCATTCTTAAGAAAATCAGCCCTGAGTTCTCACTGGAAGGACAGATCGTGAAGCTGAGGCTCCAATACTTTAGCCACCTCATGAGAAGAGAAGACTCCCTGGAAAAGACCCTGATGTTGGGAAAGATTGAGGGCACAAGGAGAAGGGGACGACAGAGGACGAGATGGTTGGTTAGTGTTCTCGAAGCTACCAGCATGAGTTTGACCAAACTGCGGGAGGCAGTGGAAGACAGGAGTGCCTGGCGTGCTCTGGTCCATGGGGTCATGAAGAGTCAGATACGACTAAACAACTAAACAACAACAATGAATACTGATAATCATTGTGCATGGTGCTTTAAAATATAGGTGGATAGGTCTCTGTTCTGTCTAAAATTGGACACAGAGGGACAAAAGAAGAAAGTAGAAAGATGGAAACAAAGATAGGTGAGGGTAAAATATGAGTTTATTTCACATATGTATACTTATGCGGGAGGCAGTGGAAGACAGGAGTGCCTGGCGTGCTCTGGTGCATGGGGTCACGAAGAGTCAGACACGGCTAAACGACTAAACAACAACAAATACTTATGCTTAGTTATGGTAGGGCAGGCCAATGTGGTGCCTTCCAGATCTTGTTGGACCCCAACACCCATGAGCCCCAGTAAGCATTGACAATGGCCAGGAATGATGAGAGCTGGAGTCCAACAGCATTTGAAGGCCACCACATTGGCTGCCTCTGTGGTAGGGTACTGGATCTAAGTGTTGTGCCAAAAACGTCACAGTACAGGTGAGTTTTGAGGAGAGATGAATTAAGAGAAGTGACTTCACACATATGGTTTCAAAAACGTAACATATTAAACTTGAATGTGAAGAATTGAAATTTGTTAAGCCCCCAAAACACCTAAAATGTGATTTGTCAATGAGGGAAACATACTGTGAGTGATATGGATACTTAGCAGAAAGCCAGGATTGAGTGTAGCTCTCTGTCAGGTATACACTCAGTTGCAAACTGGGGTTATCTGCCATGTAATATGTATAGAATGGCTGTGGTCCAATGACTTGAGGCTCCACACTTCTGTCCTAGATCCATTGCAAAGAGTTCAGCAAGTGACTGTGTCTCAGTTCCCCATCTAATTGAAATAACACTGTCCTATTATCAAGGGCCATTTAGAAGATGAATTTAGAAGATGTGGTTGTAAAGCACATTGCTGCTATATATGAAAAAAGAAATCAATGGTACCACAGTCCTTTGTTTCACCATGACCAAGAAGAGATGAAATTATGAACTTGGAAGCACCACCTTGTTATGCAAAAAAGCCCACAGTGTGGAGATAATATTGACCATAACTATGTGAAATAATCTGGAGGATAATGTAAAGTCCTACAGAAATGCTGGATAGCAGTAAGAGATGTCAGAAAATGTATCTCTCTACTACTGTGATTTCTAGAAGCTGAGCCTAATGTACACAGTGTAGTAGTGTACATGACCAGGCGAAAGGCAATAGATATGTACCAGCACCTCAGATCTTCAGTTCCGGTATGAATGCCAGTTGCTCAAATTTACATTAAGATCTCATTATATATCACATCTTGCTTCTTTAGCCAAGTAGGATTATTTCATGCAACTAGGCATGGTATTCATGACAGTGAGCTATCCACATTAAGAAGCTCTTAATCCCTTATCTTGTCAGCATGAGAAATGAAAATTGTTAAAGCTCAAGCATCATCCCCAATTTTAGACTGACTGCCCCATGTTGCTAATTGTACTGTAATGAAATGGGCTGCCATCAGACTGAATTAATCAAGTCCCAAGGGAGCAACTTTAAAAAGAGATCAGTCCATGAGAATAAATTTTACATTCTACTCAGTAAATAGGAAATGTGCATTATTGGCTAAAGACTAGAGGCCAAGGCCATTCAACCAATCTGCATCTAAACGTCCATAGGGTAAATCAGGGAGGGGGAACCTGTGGCCCTCCAGATGATTCTGGATTCCAACTTCTATCAGCACCAGCCAGGGGACGGGAATGATGGGACCTGTAATTCAGCAACATATGGAGGGATACACAGGCTCCTCTTCCATAATTTAAATAAACTGCAGATCTGTGTTACTGCAAAGTTCCCTGATTTCAGAATTCAGAATCCAAGCTTATAAACCAACAGCCCTACTCAAAGATTCCAAAATCCTGACAGATAAGCTGTAGGCAGTATTGTGATACTTGGTGCCTACATTAGGTTCTCCAGTGCCATACTTATATAAAGGATTAATTTGTTGAAAGAAGTGGACCCCTGATTCTGTGACATCAGAGCAAAACAGCCAATACAATCAAAGCAGAGAAATAAAAGTTAAGTAAGGATAAATGGAACTCCAGGCCCTTTGGACTGAAGGTTATCTTGTATCAGTTTTTAATACAAATGAGAAAGTCTTCTCAAAGTTTCTAGTGGAAGGAGTCAACCCTCAATATAAGGGACTAGAAATTGGGGGAGGGACTATTTTACCTTTGGACAATTAAATAATCTATGGCCTTTTAAACTGTGGGGAGTGGTTATTTTGTTTGACGGTATGTATTTTTTGAGATTTTTTATTGCAAACCAGCCGGTGATCTTCGAATGAAGGGCAGTATAGAAATTTAATAAATAAAAATAAAATTGTGTTTTTTGTTGTTGTGTGGAATCCAACTGATTCCAACTTGGGGCACCAGGCTTGGCCCAATCCATCTTCTTCCCCCACCAAGTTCTATTATGCGCCACCTGTTGCTCTGAGCCCACAGTGAGACCATTCAAATGTAAATAAGTATATTTCCCTCATGCACAATCATGCCAATAGAGAATATTTTGGTCCAGCTGTCATTGACAAGCATCCCACCAGAAAGAGCTGAGGGTGGGGGCAAGCTCTGTTCTGAAAAGTATATTTCAGGTACCCAGGGACCAGGCCATATTGAAAAGGGCACGCTTTTAAAAGCAGGTGTTTTAAAAAGGACATACCAAATGTGCAGAACTTAAATGCAAACCTTGCACTAACTTTCAAAAGATCTGTACAAAGGGACAAAATAGACCTATGTTTGAGCATCAGAGAGACTGAAATGGTATGGAGTTAGCTACCCATCCCTCGTCAAGAGAAATGGCACCTCAAGAGTCATAAGAATGTTTTCATTGCCACCAGAGTATCTATAAAGTTTTGGGCTCTCCTACTTTTGCCTCATGCACCTCTGCCTATGACGCCGTGCTATGAAATGCCATCTCCCATATACAGAGCAGAATAGCAGCAGGAGTCCGAAAAGGGATGGCTTCCAGGGTGGCCATAAAGAAGGAGCCAAAAATAGGTGCACAACAAATAAAGTCCATAGGCAAGGAGGTAAGGAAAATAAATAGCTTGACAGGAAAATAGGTATCGCAGGGATGACAGAGCTGTCCCTATTAAAAATGAAAATGGACCATTGTGAGTGGAATGGATTGCTACATTAATATTGCATTGAGAGCACCGCTAGAGCCCTGTTAATGCTGTCTGAAGAGACAGAGGCCAGGTATCTGAATGAGGTCCACAAATCTATATTTCAACAGGCTTGACCCCAGTGTGTCAAAGCACAATGGGAACACTGAAGCTATGGGTCTCTCAGCAACAAACATAGATGTGATGCATCTGTTTTTGTGCATATGTATGTGTCTGTGTCTCTGTGTGTGTGTGTCTCTCTCTCTCACACACACACACATACACACAAAACTTCCCAGATTCATTGTTTCTTTATAACCTCTATTCTGTACTGTTATTGCACATAATATTCCCCTCATCAGCACTAACTGCACACATCTAGAAGTAATTTACAAGAGAAGTAGGGGAAACGATATGCTTTGTTTCCACACTTAACAAATAAATAGCTGTGAGGGAAATAACAAACCTGTTAGCAATGTGCCACCTGTATTGTGCATTTAATAGCTTGCCTGTTGAGTAGTCAAGTGTGAGTCACAGGAGGAATTCTATGACCAGTTGTTTTCCTGGCTTTAGGTAGGGAAAACTCACTGTTTTCAATGTGTCCACTCTGCCTCTGCAGACACATTTGTCTCCCACCTTTTCATTGTAACCAGGGCTGAAGCTCGTTATGCTGCTTTGTGGGGGGGGGGGAGAGGGGGGATCATGGTCAAATTGCATCATGGATGATGCATGTGGTCCTTCCCTCCTCAATCTATATTTTATCAAATATTGCATTGTATCATAGTGATACACTCTCAGGCAAGTTTATGTTCCTTTGACACTAAGGACAATATAGTAGGATGGGATGATGTAGAAGAGATGGCTTAGCACAGGGTTAGAGAAACATTTATCAGAGTACAGGGATACAGTCCAGGTCAATGAAACTGTGAGGAAAGGCTTGGGGAGATTTCCAAGAACCAGTTAAAGAAGCCTGGGGGCACATTTTGACATGTGTTATGAGAATCCAGATGGTTTGTTGCAAAGAGGTATCACGATAATTTGTGAGAACACATAATGCTGGGGAGGGCATGGGGCATGCACAGAGAGAGGAGGGGGAGAGGTTCCATTGCATAAACAGAAATCCTTGCAACCCAAAGCTACAACCCTATACATACTCTTATTCCCATTGAACTAAGTGGGGCTTATCTATGAGTAGAGACAGATAAATAAATAGACAGGATTGCATTGTGAAGCTGCAATAACAGAATCATAGAATTGTCCAGTTGGAAGGGACCCTGAGGTTCATATAGTCCAACCCCCTACAATGCAGCAATATGCAACTGTCTCATATGGGGATCAAAACTGCAACCTTGGTGTTATCAGCACCACACTTTAACCAACTGAGCTATCCATATTAAGGGGGTCAAAGGCCCTTTAACCTCTATATTTGGCACCCATGGCTATCCTTAAACATGCTTACTAGGAAGAAATTAGGAAGAAACAATGGAACTTACGTCCGAAGCTTCCTGCTCTACAACTTTGCCCTGCAGCTTGTGGACAGATGGCAAAAAGGAGATGGGGATATGCTGGAAAGGGAGGAGCTTAGAAGAGCCCTCCCACTCTCCCTTATACAATTGTCATCATGGATAGACACTGAACATTCTAGCAGGGCTACATTTATTGAACAAAAAATGTGTGACCATGTAGAATCTTAAGTGTAGGAAAGGCAATTATTATGACTCCCTGATTCACAGTTTCTACGTGCAAATTTGCCAGGAGGCTGGCAGATTTCTGTACAGCCATTAGAATGTGTAGGAGCTCATATCTGGGAGCAATTATTACTAGCACATTCATCTGTGAGTGTTTACTATAAATTTGTTACTTAAAAGTTGCTTAACCTCTAGTAGCAGCTAGGTATAGAATTCCATTATCACCTAGCCATTTATCTATGATTTGTGTCAAACCAAGTACGCCAGTGTTCAACCTTCCCCGTTGCTCTTATAATGAAAGTTAGCAAGAAGCGCCTATTACAGTTCATTAACTCCTTTAGTATTTGTTGCTTGTATTGTTTGCTCTTTAGTTCACTGTTACAATTAATATTTAACTTTCATTACGCAAAGGCCACTTATCTGTGTTAAAATTCTATTTGCAGGGTTTCTGTGTCAGAGCTCTTGCCTTGCTGGTTTCATCAGGCACTACTGGCATCTGAAACCCAATTTCCTTTGCTTATCATGTTAATATCACAGGCAAATTTCTGAAAGGTGGCTTGTTATTCTTTCATCTATGTAATTGATAGAGATAGAAAACCAAGAAACCCCACTATTTGCCTCTATAAGCCATTACCCATTGCAATTTTATTTCCAATTTCCAGCCAATTTTCCACTCAGCTTGCTGTTTCTCTTTGGTGCTTTTTTATTTATTTACTTTTAATCTGATTCAGCCTTGCCTGTAACTATTTGAAATTAAAGTACAGTGAACACAGTGTGAATAATATTATTTCCATTGGCATTTCTAAGGCACTTGGGTAATGTTATCTGCTCACAAATATCCACATGACAAAATATAACATGGAGCTGGCATTCTGACATCGTTTACTCCCAGTTAACTAATTCATAAAATTATTGAACTAACTCCTGTTCTTCTGTCTAGCATGCCATGCTTGTGAATAGGACCCCTGCATAACATCAAGGCAGATGGTTACTATAAGGATATTTCAAGGGTTTGGATCAGATATATTTTAGATGTTAGCAACAATGTAGAATGCTTCCTCCTTTTTACTCAAACATTTCTTCTTATACGTTCTTCTTCACTATCACAAAACACAGTATTCTTAAGGAAGCACACTCATCTTGGTCCTTCTGCCTAGGCACAAATGGGGACATTTTGTTCCAGAAAGCAGACACTCCAAGTGTCCCTGTTTTCCAGGGACAGTCCCAGAGGCCATCCTGGTTTCTGATTTGATTCAAGAATGCCGTGCTTTTCCTTAGGAAGTCCCTATTTTCATTGAAGAAATGTTGGAAGGTATGGAATGGGACGTCCCTGTTTTCATCAGAGAAATGTTTGAGGATATGAGAAAGCAGACTAAGCTGAGAGTTAATCACCCAGGGCAAGAAAGCGGCAGCCAAGTTTCCCCTGGCCTCATTTCATGTGGTCAGTATCTCAGGTAAAATCCAGAACTCAACTATGCAAAATGGGCTGGGGTGCACTGGATTGTACACATCAAGACCCTCTTTGAATATGGCACCCCTAAGTAGGCATTTGGGGTTGTCAAAGGCAGGGCAGGTGGGATGTGTCTGATACAGCTGCTGATACAGCTCAGAGTATCACACCTGAAGCAAGCAGAACATAGTTAAAAAAAATTTTTTGGGGGGGGGGTGTCCAGTAGCACCTTAGAGACCAACTAAGTTTGTTCTTGGCATGCGCACAAAAGCTTATACCAAGAACAAAGTTAGTTGGTCTCTAAGGTGCTACTGGACAATTTTTTTAAAAAAATTAAAATATATTTCGACTGCTTCATACCAACACGGCTACCTACCTGAATAGTTAAATTTGAAAAGTCACCCCTTGCCTGGTACCCTACTGCAGACCATATGCTAATGAATGTTGTTGCGCTCCTACCTTGCTTCTGGGCTTCCCATGGACATTTGATTGGCCGCCGTGAGAACATGATGCTGGACTAGATGGGCCTTTTGTCTGATCCAGCAGGGCTCTTTCTATGTTCTTAGGATCCTCTGCTGGAGGAATTCATTCATTGCGAATTCCATTATGAACTGACCTGATTCACACTATCTGGGTTAATGTGTGAATCGTAATATTGTTATGCACTGGGTGTTCACACTTCCTTATTCATTTCAAAATCTATATTACTAGGGATAATATGTACATTTAAAATGTGATTGTAAGAGAAAATGTTTAAATATGCATGTGAATGCATTTTTTTTTTGCATGGGTTTATGAATTTAAAAAGCACATTGCAGATTAATGCAGAAATGGGCTAGAGTGAACTGATGGATAAATACCTGCAGAAGGGTGGAAACTGACTGATGCCCCTCACATAAATAAGCCACACCACCATCAACTGAACACAACCAACCAAGCTCGGGAACCCCAAACCTCTCGCAACATCAACATCAATAAAAATAAATAAATATGCAAACAAAGGACCTACCCATGTGATGCTGACACAAACCCCCACACTAAAAATAGGCAATAAAATGAAAGAAGATCCCCATTTCTCTCCCCGTTCCTCTGCTCCAACTGCAAGATGTCTATGACAGAAGTGTCTCTCACCAAATGCAAATGAACTGTGAAAAAGAATATGAATTGAAAATGGAGACAATAGATGTACTGCTTCCTGTTTATCTGTTTGCTTTGTAACACAAAAAACCTTTAAAAACTATTTTTTAAAAAAAGAAAGAAAGAAAGAAAGAAACAGACTGATGCACTTGTCCCTAGGATAAAGTCACATTTGGAAGTAATTGATATGGGAATGCTGATAATGTGGGTTGTATTTGGCATGGAAGAATCTCATTGTCATCCATGTGCAGAACTATATTTCCCCATGAGATGCTATGTGGTTTATATCTCAGACTCCCAAGAATGAGATATCTATGTCACTGTTCATCGAATCATTGAATTGAATGGGACCCGGCGGTCTCCCAAGTCCAAGTGTACACTGAGATGAGATATCTTGTACAAAAATGCAGTCCTCCTAACAAACATCTGCCCAGCCTTTGAAGGAAATTTCTACAACCATCAACAATAAAAATATGTGAGGCAGGGTTGCACTGTCATTTTGGCTCTTGTTGTTGCTATTAAGAAACATATTTTATGGATATGGTAACCATTCAGAGCCATTTTGTTTTCTCTCAGGCACACTGTGGACTGTGGGAAATGTGTTAATTTAACCAGACCATCTGCTCTTGGCCGCCATCCAGGCATGCCCAGATATAGGACCCAAGAGGAGATCCAAGCTAATCTTTCCTTTTAAAAAAGATATAATACAAATGCAGGAGCAATACAGGCTGAGCATTCTTATATCTGCTTTAGAGATCTGTCTGGTGATTTCCTGTTGCAGGTGGAATCCAAAACCCAAAGCCCTCTGTCGCCTACGCACTATTGCAATTAGCCATTATATATAACGCAGTTCATGGACACATTCTATTTTTAATTTGTGGAACATGTCTTTCTTATTCTTATTTCATTTCTCTTAATAAGAAACCTGTGAGGCAAGTTTTCATTATTCCATTAAAGGTAAGAGACAGCAATATGCTGAAGACCTTCCAAGGAGAAGCAAATTGCTCTGCTTTAGGTCTCTTACAATCAAAGGTTTATATTTACACTAAAAGATTTTTATCGCTGCCATTTTTAAAATGAATATCTTGCTCAGTCCAGCAAACTGCACCAAAGTGCCACCCTACAATCCATTCTACCATGCTAGCATATACCGTATTTTTTGCACCATAACACTCACTTTTTTCCTCCTAAAAAGTAAGGGGAAATGTCTGTGTGTGTTATGGAGGGAATGCCTACGGGTGGCATGCCTACGGATTTTCCTCCTCTAAAAACTACGTGCGTGTTATGGTCGGGTGCGTGTTATAGAGCGAAAAATACGGTAGTTTCCTTGGAGGACTATCTATGTGTCCAACCATACATCCATTCATTCATCCATCCACCCATCCACCCCATATTTTAAACTTCTATCACACTTCCAGAAGCTATGTAGATAGGGCGGTCTTGGTTCTCAGTGGCTACCTTTTAGGTCTATGGACAGAAGAAAACAGCTGTAGTCTGTAGTACCATTGCGATTGGTCATTGAGTCAAGAGCTTATTAGATAGGCAAATTTTGCTTCCACACAGTGTTGGTCCCATTTTCCTTTCCCCCATATAAACAAATGACTGCTATTTATTCCTTTTAGAAACAGTAAACTGCAATATGAAGGCCATTGTGTGCATGTGGAATATTCAGATATGCACTGAGGCATTGGATTACAGTGGTACCTCAGGTTACATACGCTTCAGGTTACAGACTCTGCTAACCCAGAAATAGTGCTTCAGGTTAAGAACTTTGCTTCAGGGTGAGAACAGAAATCGTGCTCCGACGGTGCGGCAGCAGCAGGAGGCCCCATTAACTAAAGTGGTGCTTCAGGTTAAGAACAGTTTCAGGTTAAGTACGGACCTCCGGAACAAATTAAGTACTTAACCTGAGGTACCACTGTAATGGGATGCTACTGAGGTAGACCATTGTTCCATTGATCTCAGTTATTGTCTACTAAACCAACTGGTCACAGCTTCCAGGGTTTCAGGCAGGGATCTTTCTCAGTCCTGCCTGCAGATGACAGGTGTGACAGATGGTGGGAATGGGGGGGGGGGTGTCCGTATGCAGCACATATGCTCTGCCACTGCAACTCTTTCTCACCTTCTCTGCAGCAGAGGCTGTTACACTCAGGACTTGCTTAAGGGATTATTATAGGCATCTGGTTGGCTACTGTAAAAACAGGATGTTGAACTAGATGGGTCTTGGCCTGATCTAGCAGACGTTTCCCTATGTTCTTAAGACACGAGCCTTCCTTCCATTTGTTATTTCCTTCCATCTGTTTACAGCCAAATATGCCACAAGTTGTGTGGCATGCTAATATAAGCAAAGCTGCATTAATGACACCATTAATCCATCAAAACCAGTTCTTAGTCCTCTTGCCCAGCCCTGTTGCCTGGAATCTTCCAGTTGAGAAGAACTAAACCATTTTGGAACTTTCTGCATGGGAATATGTGCTCTGCCTCTGTGCTACAGCCCCATCCGTGCAGATTGTGCGTGTTCACCTGCAATCTATCTCTGGCAAATGGCTGCCAGATTCAAGTGTGCATGACAGCATTCCGAGTTTCTCCTTCCTAATCGCCTGTGGAAAGTGGCATGCTGATTCAGCAGCTGTCCTAATAGGAGATCCTACGCTGCCACTTTTCTCTTCTTAAAAGCATCCTTGAGAGCATCAGTTGCAAAAACTGAGCCCTAAATTAACAAGAGGCTGCCAGATGTCTTGCAGGCAGCACTCACAGAAACTGTGGGGAGGCTGCATCAACTTAGGTTATGCCCAGTTGCTCCTGCCCTAGAGAGGGACTGTGATGGCGGTGAGGCAGTGCTGCATTCACAGACCCATCAGAGCTTCTTTGCTGGTGATATCTCTCTGCAGGACACTTGCTGCACATTGAAATTTCATCCTATGGGACTGCTGCCATCCTTACCTTAATTGACTCCTTTGGCTCAAATCCTCCAGTCCTGTCTTACCTTGCTGTGCAGGAAAGGTTTTCCTTTCACTGCATTATTTAGTAACAAAGTAGCAGGCTTTGAGATTTGAGATGCTCTGAAGTCTTTGAGCTAGATTATTTTGTACCTTGGCTTATTTAAAAGGAGACGGAAATTTCTGCAAGGAGACAGTGATTTCTATGAAGTCCAAGGCAGCAGGAGCACGAGGAGCTATACTTTTTATATATAAAGAAAACTTATCTTGTGTTCATAAAAAGGTGCCAAGCTGACAACAGTTGGAGACTGAAATCCTTTGCTTGTGCTCAAGGCAGGCAGAGAATATCTAATACTTAACTCCCCACAGGGGAATTCTTAGCTCCTGTATTTACCCACTGGAACAATGCAATTCAAATTTCACTGGAAGCCTATGGACAGAAAGGGGGAGAGGTTTTTGAACAGCATGTGCTGCCTGCATTGGTGTCATCCCAAAGTGAAAATGAGTATTTGTTTTCAACGTGATCTATTTGTGTGAAATCAAACCACAAAGATATATCACCTCAGGCTTATATCTTGCATTCATTTACTGATGTTCTTACATCCATTTGTTTTCTTATATTTATGTCCCACTTTTCTTGGAATCCGAAGCCACATACATGTGATTTACAGGCAGTTACCCATCCAGAATCTGACCAGACTCAGACCTGCTTAGCTTCAGCAAGAAGGCACAGATTGTGTGTGCCTTCTGACCAGGGTTTCTCAAACAACCTCCCATTCCACAGACCACTTGAAAATTGCTGAGGGTCTTGGTGGGCTGCTTAATGATATTTCTGCCTCTTGTTTATCTATTGTAGTGCACTGTGCTAGACAATAAAGTGTTTTTTTTAAAAAATGGAATCCCAATTTTAACACAGTAAAATACAATAAGAATAAAAGAAACGATTAAAATACAATTAAAATCAATATGATTTAGCAACACATTTAAGTACAATATGCACAGACTACTTCAATCAAGCACTTTGTTATCTTACAATGAAAAGCGCTGTCTGAATTTATTGTTTTTGTATTTCATTAACCACAATACAGAATTCTGATAGGAACTGTTTTCTTTTGTAACTTTATTTATACAGGGGCAGACTTTGGTGTTTCAAATTTCAGTGGCACCCTTTGTGAGGTTAATTCCACCCCACCCATCCCCACTCTCACCTCCCGTTCTGTTCAATGAATTACGTTATAGTTGTGGCACCCTGCGGCACCCCCTAGGATCAGCTCCCAGTGTTGCAGAACCGTTCATACTGCCCAAAATATACCTCTGCATTTAAAATAGATTGATTAGAAGATGTGGAGAGAAACGCAGACAGAGACACAAATATCTCCAGCAAAGGAGAGCCCAACCCATCATGAGGCAGGTTGTTCCACAGTCAAAGAGCTCTTCCCTTCATCTGAAATTGTGATAAAGTCTCAAGCGTGCTGTGTCGCACACTTTTCTCAGTCAACCACCAGCTACAATGAAATATCCTGCCTGCCAGCTGTTGGAATTTAGCTACTGTTATTTTCAGCTGAGGAAGGGTTGCAGGAAAAGAAGACACCCCCACTTTTTTGAGTCCGTATATGTTTCCCAGTACTGATACTGAATACTATTACCATTCATCCAGCTATCTTGTTTCCTATTGCCCATCCTTCAGGGCAGATTTTTTTTTTTAAAAAAGACATTTTTTGCTGCATGCCTTGCAGGTTTAATTTAGTGGGTGGACAGCAATCCAAGCGAAATGTCTTATCACTAGTCACATCATAATAGATACCCAGGGGCAGGAGTTAGAACGAAACAGGAAGTGAATGTATTCTGACAAGGTCTTGTTAATGCTGGAGACTTGTGTTTGAATATGTTAACGGGAATCAATAAGTGGCAATGGATATACTGGAAAGACAAAAGGATAAAATCAATTAAAGATGTCATCTCTTTGTAAATTAGAAACATCAGCCATATCCAATGGCTTAAAAATGGAAGACAACAAGAATATTAACAAGCAGCAAGCATCTTGACATGACTTCTAAAAGCTTTCTCTTTGCCTTTTTTAAGGCAGACCTTTGTGTGGTGGGAAAATGAAGTACAAAGGCATGACTGGCTGAGCATCAGGCTCCATAGGAATCTGGCAAAGGGTCAGGTGGGGCCTTAAGCCATTTCATTGATCCTAATGAAGTGCTCCAAAAATATTAAAACAAAAGAAATAATACGGCAAAAGGAAGTACGGCTTAGGTCAATCAATGTCTATAGGTCATAATGGCTTCATGTCAGTTCTGGCAGTGGCACCATCTTACCAGGCAACTGTCCCAATATTCCCAGGACATTCCGGAATTACAGAAGGCACCCAGGTTTCTGATTGGATCCTGGAATGTCCCATTTTCTCCTTCCAGCATGCCACTGATCTTGGGGGAGGATGAGCTTGCAGCCAGCACTGGTGCCTGCAGTGCTGCTGCACTCTCACGCAAGTCAGCTGGCTCCCACAAGAGCTCAGCACTGAAAGATGCACCATCTGACTCGCACGAGTGCACAGCACTAAAAGACATGTGTCCCAATTTTCTTCAGAGGAATATTGGAGGGTATGCACCATCAGGGCAGGACTCTGGGGCAGACATCTAAGGGCCTCATCCAGAAGAATGAGCAGAGGGGCCTCCAATTGCAACAGGGCTGGCTTGCCACACTTTGAAGAAGGGCACATTAACTCCAGAGTCTAAAATCTAACACTGTAGACAGCATGCAGCTGAACATCTCTTGTTGGAGACCAACAAGAGCAGAAGGCTTCCCTTCTTATGGGTTTCCTGGAAACAGGAAACCCACCATGGGAAGCAAGAATATGGATTTATATTGGCCTTAAGAGTCTCCATATAGTATTAATTCATCCCTCACTGGGCCAGCATTTCAAAAACAGTAGCAAAACAACAGCTGTAGGCTTGATTTGTAGACTTCTGTCCAACTGTTACGATCTGAAATTGGGACATTCATCCCATTCAGTGGAACTGCAACATTCTTGAGTAAAGGTTAGACACAAGGGCAAAGAAATTCAGGCCTGGATGTACCCCAGGCCTCTCTATTTATCCCTTGGGACAATCCTCAAGTGAAACTCTCTCCTCAGATACAAACCCGTCTTTCCATACCACACTTCTCCCCTGCCCTGCTTTGCCCACTCCTCAAATGTTTTTACCTGACTGGAATGTGTTCTTAAACTCTGATAATGCCTCTTGCTGAAAAGGGATTTGCGAGTGTTTGTAGAAACTAGCCTACTATAAAAGGATAGAATTTACATTCATTGCCTCCATTTACCTAATGGCATAGCCAGCACTGAGTCCCATTCACAGCATTGTGACAATAATCCACCTGCTGCATCTCTTTTGCTCCCAAACAGACAAATTTTCATCTTTTCAGAGCTACTTTTAACAGTCACTCCGCTTCCTTTCTAATGCATCTGTAGCTTGACAGCATGACATGCATAAACTTGCTGAATCCTGATTCATTTTGACAGGATGTGTAGGGCGGTTGTCTGGGGAAAAAGCCTGGGAATATCTGAACTCGAGAGCCTGGTGGCAGCCTCAGAATTGATGTGTCCTTTTCTCAGGAGTGATTTGAAAATGCTTTGCTCCTGTGGGTTACATCTTTCCTATGTCTGTAAAATAAATTATAGAAGTATCTCTGGCACACTTCTGGCATGTGTTTTCAGCCTTATGCAAACCCCCTGACCCTCCAAAGTATACCAATAGTTTGTTCTACGCTTCCTGTATTTTATTCAGAATACTTGGAGGAGGGTGTTGGCATAGATAGATAGATAGATGATAGATAGAGTGTGTAAGCCCTCCAAGGCTGAGTCTCAGATGGCTTTCAGTAACACTTAATATTTGGTAAGGCCCTTTGGAAGAAGGGGCTTTGCATCACTAGTAGATGGGGATACTTGAAGAACTCAAGTGGGAAATATCAGGCCTGGGGGCCACAAGTGGCCCTCCAGGTCCCTCTATCTGGTCCTCAGGACTCTGCTACACTTCCCACTCAGCCACACCCTCTTTCCTGAGGCCACACTCCTCCCTGGCTGCACTCTGTGCCTTCTTTAAGTGTTTTTGCCCCACTCCAGTGTGTCACTGAACTCTGATGAAGCCTCTCGCTTGCCTGGAGGGAGGATAGAGAGGGTGCCCTTTGCCCTTTTCCCCATGAAACCCAACTCTTTGAAGCTGAATCAGAGCAAATATCAATCTGTGAAAAAACTGAATTGATGTTTGCTCTAAATAATAATTAAAAAAATGCTTGGACACTGAGCTTTTAAGTGGGAATCTGTGCCTGAAAAGAGTGGGGCAAAAGGTAAGTGTGGATAACAGAGAGACTACTTAGGGTGTAAAGTATCCCATTGTCTCTGCATTTCTGTAATGGTGATCGTCAAGCACGGCAGATGCAAGTGGGAGCATTAAATGGGGATGCCTTTCAAGAAACAATCAGTCTTCCACTTAAAGACTCAGAGAGAAATGTGCAGCTAACTCAGTCTTCTTGATTGTATTAGTCTCAGTGCAAAATGAAATCCCACTAGGTAATAATAACTTTTTACTCTGGGAGACAGCAATCCTAAGCAAAGTATGTCAAGTGCTGGCAAAACTAATATGGCTTGACACCAATAATAAATTGTGCAAATTCAGGCAAACTTCATCATTCTTATTTTGTATTAAATGTCATCTTATTAGATGATGCATGAATAAATGGAGCAACAGGATAGTTGTGAATTATTGTCCACTAATAGATGGTGTTCCAGCATGTCTCCTGTCTTTCAGTTAGTCCTTGACAAATAAGCCCAGAAATATGTCTGGTCTGCTCTATTGCCAAATGGTTAAGGACATTTTTTATTCTATAGTCCAGGGGTGGGAAGTATGATGCAGGATGCTGTTAGACTCCAGTTCCCATCAGCCCAAGCCAGCATGGCCAGTGGTAAGGGATGATAGGAGCTGTAGTCTAGCAACATGTGCAGGGTACCCTACCATTTCTATAAGCTCATTGAATTTCTATTGGACTTTTTCACTTAGGTGGCGCACAAGGACATATTAGCCAGGATATATGTTGGTTTTGGCAGAGTCTGATCTGTTGTCTTGCTAGGGATGTCAGAGAATTCTGACGAAAACAGAAGCAAAAATGCAGAGGTTTACTTATTTGTCCCATGTCCAGAACACAATTGTAATACTGATTTCACATTTTTTTCCATTCCGAAAACGATGTGTAATTGATTAATCCCCTCCCCCAACAATTTAAATTGTATTTCCTTTGCACTGAAATGAACAATGTGGAGTAATTACATCATTAAGTTAAATGTGTAACTTGCATAAATTATGTAAATTATGACATACGTTTTTGTAGCTCACTGTCCACTTCCTCAGATGCATGAAGTATTATCCCGAGTTACAGGAATATTCACACATGATTGGTGAAATGGGGATTGTAAATAAGGAGATAAAAGGGAAATGAAATACAGAGAGTGTGGAGTCAGTGATAATTACGTTATGGAAAACAGTGGTAATTCACAGAACAGTTATTGTTGATAACACAGGCATCTAAACATTGGTAAGGGGCTACCCCTTGGGGAAATGGTAGAATATTAAACTTTCTGAATGGTTTTGCAGCTCATTAATAATCCGTGAACCAACGATTTGGAAAACAGTGCTGCCCCATTTTATAAAATATGAAGATGGTACATTGACAAACTGTCACCAGTCTAATGTGACGGTTATTAATACAGTGAATATTTCCATATTATCTTCAGGATGCATTGGATAATTATTGTTAAAGGCCCTGCAATTTACAGGCCTGTAAGTAACACTGGTGTCACTAGGGCTTACAGGCTTATAAATGGTTTCACAATCACAGTCTTCAAGTGCCTCATAAAATCATACATTGGTTAGGGTGGTTGAAACATCAGGCATTTTCTATAGTTCATTGGTTTCCATCCATCTGCTGGTTCATGGATCAGAGTCAACTGGAGACCAATGGTCTCCTGCTCTGCAGCAAAGATACCACTCAACACCATATTGTACTATAAAAGCATCAATATTCACTTTCCTGCTGATATACAGATGGCAGGAGAGCAGTGCAGTCGGACCTCCAAAAGTGATTTGATGGTTTGGAATCATGATGTGGTCCAGGTCTCATGGGATGGTAATGAAGCAATGCTAATGCTCAGTCTCCCAGCACCACACACACACACAAACAGAGAGAGAGAGAGAGAGAGAGAGAGAGAGGCCAAGATGAAGTGACAGTGTGTGTAAGTTCTTGAAAATATGTAGATTGACAGGAGAATGCTATTGCCCCAAATAGAGCTACAATAGGAGAAACCCCAAGCATTACAGAACTGCTTGCCTATAATTACAAATGTAACCCCCCTGTGGTTATAGACATGCATGAAGCAAATATCCACATATTCCACATGCACTTAAAACATGCCTTTCTGAAAGGATTTTGGCTCTTTAAGCATTTGATCTAAACTCCTTATTTTGTCTGAGAGAGGTGAAACTGATATTCTCAGTCTCTCTCATATTTGGCCAAGGACTATTTCTCATGCAGGTACCCTGAATGTTTGCAATCTATTTTTCCTTCATTATGTCAACACTGATTACAGATTAAAAATTTAAATATTAAGTAGAATCAAATCAGAGAATGGTGCTGTCGTTCCACTTGGTGCAAGCTGCCTCTACCAATTTTGGTGATTCCTGCCTTCACACCACAGACCCCTGCATCATATCCCAGGTCTTTCTTGAGAAACCCTGGTTTTCCAGGTGTGATTTTTTTTCAAGGCTCAGGTATGGATTATTCAACATGTATGCCCTGGATATGGATACACCGCACTGGATATACAAAAATCGGAACGCATGCATAGCTTACCTGAAATGTGCAAGCATGTTTGGGGTAAACTATCCAAGCCTTCAGACTTTCTCGCTTCCAACTCTACAATTCTATGATTCTAATGCTTCCCCTAATTACTTTATGGCAGAAAACAGAAGCTTTTAGGGGTGAAATCAGGGATGGAAGCTGAAAGCTTTCTGCATGGGAGCTAATGACCATATAGTTCCTTTGAGAATGGAAAATAGATTCCTGAAGTTTTGGATTCACTCAAAACAATTACTTTTCCATTTTGGGGGAGGGGGCTTGGATAAATAATGAGTCAATTCAAGAAGAGCTTTGGAAAACTGCCCCATTTGTCTGTTCTTCATCAAAGAATTAAAAATTCCACTGAAAATTCTTCTCCAGTTTGGTGTTTCAGTACAAAATAAAAATATTTTGAGTCATTATAGCACCCCCTCTGGAAAAGAATTATCAAAGTGTATAACTTATAAGAAGTTATGTGAGATGTGTTACAACATGCCTCTGTTCTTAATAGCACAACCTGTTTATACCAACTTTGCATAACCATTGTGGATGTTTTCCAGCTAGTTATAAAAATCTTTGCATTGGGCAAAAGGAAAGGAAAGGAAAGGGTACTAGCTAGTGAAGCCCATTACTCATACCAGGTCTGTGAACCACCACAGAGCTGAATAGCTGCTTTAATGTTAATTCATAACAAATAAAGTGCTCCCTGACATTTTGTAGAAATTTAGGATTATTTAGCCTCAGAAGAAGTGACTCAACTGAGGTGCTGAATCTCTCGAAAGCCACAGTAAAAAATAAAATAAAATAAAAAAACCCAGCCAGCCTTTGCATTTTACAGTCTCCTCCTAATTAGAGAACAAGAGGTCACTCCAAGTTAATGGCAGGCAAATTTAAAACAAATGAAATGAAATACTTCTTCATTGAGCATTTATTCACACTGCAGAGGAGGTCAAGGTGTCAAATACCATACCTGCATTTTAAAGGTGCTGGGTAATTTTATGATCATCCGTAACATTTATAGCTTTACCCACAGAGACACTGAGTTACTGCATTTTCATGCCTCTGGGCATTATCTGATCATTGAAAAGGACAAGAGGATTTTTCTTCTTCTTTCCATTATGAGCCAGTGTTCAACTGGACAAGTGCAGCTCTTCCTCTTATGGGCTGCAGACTTGTCATACAGGCATTTTCCATATAGCTTTTTCTCAATTCTGCTTGATCATAAGATGTACCCTCCTGTTAATACCCAACTCCCCAGTTGCCTTGATGCTCTAACCTGATTGTGATGCAATCCCACCACAACCTTTGTACAGTGTTGTATTTCCTAATTAAAGAACAAACGAACAAAACCATTTTTAGACTAAAGCTCAAAGAACGTCTGATATGGTTGTGAAGTGATGGGACAGAATAGGGACAAGGCAGCTACCAGGACAGATGACAGCCCTCAGTCTCTGCACTAGACACCTAGGTCGGAAAACACAGGGCACTGTGGGCAATGAACCATCTGGGTTCCTCCACATGTCCTGGAGAAATTGTGGATATTGTGGGTAGGGATGGATAAATATGTCAGTTTGGGTTTCTCTCCCTTTCTCATCTTTCCAGTCCTAAGTTAGGGCTGCCCCATTCCCCATCCCCCCATTGATTTGATTAAATAATGATAAAAAAATACACTCTCATGAATAGATTTTGATATGCAATTTTGCCTGCTTAGCAGTTGCATTTTTGCAAGCAATTTTCCCAGACGCTCACATTAAAATGTGAAGAAAATTGATTTCTATCATTCCTAAGTGTGGGCAATTATGTTGATGGGAATCTCCCATAGCCACCTTGTGCAGGTGCCTTCCTGTCTGCCTGCAAGCTGTTGCTGCTGCCTTCCAGCCTGCCTGCAAGCAAATCCATGAGATTAGAATTGATGTAGGAGAGGGCACAACTGACAGCACCATTTCAAAGCTGGAGCCAGATCTGCAGGGTAGGCCCTCGTGGGTGGAACCTCTGCATCAAGAATGGGTGGAGACTCTGCACCAGGGATGGGGAGCCAATGGTTCTCCAGATGCTATCAACTTTCACCAGTGACCATGCTGGCTGCCAGGGGCTGATGGGATTTGCAACCCCACAGCATATGGAGGACCACAGATTCCCCATTCCTGCTCTACACACTCTTGTTTCCATAGCCAGTTATCACTTCAGATGTGACATTGATGGGTAGTTATCTTTACATTCTTTTCGTACCACCCTGGTACGTTCTGTTCACCTTGAGTTCACACCATATCAATCTGTACTTATCCTTCTGTGTACATTCCTTTCGTACCACCCTGGAACGTGCAGTCCATTAGTAGCACCATATCAATCATGATAAGAAGGAGATCATGCCTGTCTAAACTCTGCGTTCCTTTTTCCAATCGATTTCCTTTAACCTATTGATGATTAATGTCTTATATGCAACCCTTGCTTTGTACTTGTGTTAACCAATCAGCAACAAGCACATACGTGGCAATGCTGTAATATTCAATAAAAGGGACTCCCCGACACATGTTGAGGAGATGCCTCCCGTATGACACCTACCACTCGTCTGTCGTTTATTTCAACCCAACATGACATCAAGACAAAATGAAGGAATAATGATACAAATGGCAGTGCGTATAATGGGGGAAAATATTTAAAATAAAAAAATGGAAAAGAAATCAAGTGATCCAGAAGGAGAACAGGGAAATATCTCTTCAAAATGGAATCTTGTTTATTGATAGTGTTTACCTTCTTTGCCCACCTAAAAATGAACTGAGTAAATTCTTTGTTATTATTATGCAAATTGTTCTTTGAACACCCACAGAGGCCCAGAACATTTGCATCTCTACTTTCTCATTGAGACAAAGAATAAAAATAAAACAGCAACAAAAGTGATGGTAACAATCTATATATAAAGTCTAGTGCTTTCCTTAATGGGCACATTTGTTTGGTCTTGCAGTAGCCTTGAGATCATTAGCCCACAAATTGCTTTCCCTCTCCTGATGCTTCTATCTTTGCTCTGGAAAACAAGATGCAGTTTTTATTTTGCAATTTTACCTTGTAAATTAAATTCTCATACACTGCCTCATGTTCACGCCTGCCATTTCATTGTTGAGACATTTCTTGATCACCTCTCTTCCTTTTTTCATAAATAGGAAAGCAGAAACAAAATGTACAGAAGTACCACATAAGTATTCATAGTAACAACTTTCCACCACAACCCTATAAATCTGTATGGAAACTTTCCCTGTGAGCAGGGTGGCTGCATTGCATTACTTGCTGTGCTGCCTGGTCAATAGCAAAGGAGCAATAGTTTAAATTGCAGAGAGTGAGGGGGCATTTCCCCATTACCAAATGAATAATAGGTACCTATTTCAAGGTAAGATTATCAGTAGCTAATCCTAACAAGCACGCTTACTGCAAAAACAAACTGTAGTACATCAAGAATATGTAAGTAGATAAAAGAGTCTTGTGGCACCTTCATGTCAGACCCAGTCAGATGGATGGCATATGAACAAATTATTATTATTATTATTATTATTATTATTATTATTATTATTTCTAACAAATTTAGTAATTACAGCACAAGCTTCTGTGGACTCAATGAGACTTCATCCAGGGCACAATTCTTCAGCAGACAAATTGGACCAGAGATGGGAATCCTCCAGAGGTGATCAACTCCATCCACCCTACCAGTATGACCAAAGGTCAGGGATGATGGAAGTTAGAGTCCAACGAACACAGGTTCTCCATCCCAGTGTTATACTTTGATATGGGAAGACTGTATTTACAGTATATCCCAATGGTCAAGTCACCTTATGATACAACTGCAAAAAAGAGGCTGTACTGAATGCACTGCCATTCCTGATATGTGGCATGAGTGCTTATTTTTTTAAGTGAAGGCTGGTTCCCAGTCTATGTATTTCTGGAAAATGAAATGTGACTGTATACATATTTTTCTCATGAACTGAAGTTATCTCAGTGTAGGGGGAAAAATCAGTTATGAAGAAGAAATATCAGGAATCTGGCAGCAAATTCTAGGGTTCACCCCTGGGGCCTAACAGATATGTCCAAACATGAATATATAAACAAAGCAGAACAATGTGAAGCTCATTTTAACACCTCCCACAGGGGAAGAATCTCAATGATTCTTTCAAACATGAGTGCTGGGTTCAAGCTTTTGAACACGTCAGGAGGTGGATGGGGGAAACTAGGGCTTGGTTTGTTCTGACATCAGGACTTTATGCGAGCAAGAAGCTCAGACAGCAATCCAAAGACTTGCTGAAGCCATAAGGCTAATATAATATACTTCATAAATTTCCAACCAATGGCCCAAGTGGGAGGGTAGGATGCTGCAATGGAAAAGGAGGACTCGGGGAAAGGAGCAGCATTGCATAGACAACCCTATGCCCTAAGCCCCATTGTCCAAACATGTCACATTGTGGAAAGAAAATGCCTCCTCCTTCAGACGAAAGCCATGCGAAGCTTCACTTTCAATGGCATTGATCCAACTCCCCAACATAAGTCTGGGAGCAAAATATGCCTCATAACATCAACCCTTGATACCACCATCTGAACATACATTGCTTAAACAAAGCCCCATTGGAGTCACCCTCATTTAGAAGAGTAGAGAACCAGGCTGATGCCACCATTAGGCAGATGAGGTAACAGTCTCAGCCAGCAACAGATACTGAACAAGAGTGGCAGTTGTCTTCCGGCTGTTCCTGCTCGGCTGTCTAGCCATTCCTGTCTGTTTGAGGACAGTGCTATGTGTGAGACACAGTCTGTCTCATGCCCCTAAGCTCAAGTGTCATAGAGGTTGCTATTCTGAAGCAGTATTTTGTATGTGCAAGAGAGGAGGATGCCATATTGTCTTTTGCCTCAAGCAGCAAAATACCTGAGGCTGGGCCAGCTACCCAGTGCCTTCAATTTTATCTTCATAATACCCATTGCAAGTGAAACGTATTTCCAAACAGATATGTATTCAAAAGGAGAGCTCTGCAATTTGATCACCATATTTGTTAACGTGCCACAATCCATTTTTGCACGCAATCCATTGTATGATTGTAGCAGAAGCTCATTTAATGTCTTGGCTCAACGTTCACTGCTCCTTTTTAAGACAGAAATGCACAGTGCTCTCCCTCTCTCCCTCCCTCTTTCATTCTCTTCCGCATCTGGCAATAAAGCTGCTGATACACTCATAAGCTTGCAATGGAACAAGTCTTTGCATACTTTATGCAATGTTTCATCTTGCACTTTGAGCGTGGAGAAAGCAAAGGCACTCGTGCAGTGCCTGATTTGCATAATCATTTTCAAACTGGAGATGTCCACAAAGAAAAATCATCTATCTTCCTAATGACTTCCTGTTCTCTCTCACTCTCTTTTCTTTGCATATTTTCTGAATTGGTTTACTTTCCTGTTCATCAAGTGTGTTGGTGCATACCAAATGTGGACATCAGATCACACTATCAAAAGGAATACAGGAGTTGAGTAGAGAGGCAACCAAGCTGTGATCCGGTGTATGGTGTTCTGTTGCCCACAGATACCACCGCTTGCAGTCTTTGCTTATTTAACTTCAAACCCATTGGGAAAGATGATGACTTGTCTCCTACTTGGGTTGCTGTTGGTGCAATGGAGCAGTGCGACCATCCTAACCCTGGTGTTGCTGCAACTAATGGAGCAGGGCAGAGCAGAAGCAAGGCCAGGACTGCATAGATGCACCAGCAGAGCCAATCCAGTGTGTCCAGCTCTGCCCCACCACACTGACCACTACCACACTTAGGTCTAGGTACAAGAATTATTATTATTATTATTAGGCAAGCCAAGTTAAAAAACAAAACTGTAAGCAATACTTTACAAAGAGGAAGTATTATTGCAGAAACTTGGCTGTCATATTGCTACTGAAAAAACAGGATCTCCCACAGTTTTTTCACCTCGATGTTTTCTGTGTAAAGGGCAAAGTAGTGGAAATGGCAGGCTAGATGTTCTCAATTGAGAAGTATTTCATAGCTGAGGAGTGTTAGGACTCCATACTTTTTTCTTTTTCTTTTTGAAAAAAGAGCTATCAGTGACATGTTTTTAAGGTCAATGTGCCATATCTCTTCCACGCGGTCCTGAGAAGTCAGATTAGTCCTTTCAGTGGTAACCTTTCCTGCAATGAATATGTTTGCTTCCCTGTCATTAAAATTCACCCCCTCTGTTTGTGATCCTGACAGCTTGTAAGATTAAATTTCCCATATATTGATTTGGATGTTCTACCTCTGTCAGGTTTTGATCACTAGAAACACAATTTTCCTTGTGTTGAGATAATGTATGGTGGATGTAGAACTAAACTCAAGTAACATTTTTTTTCAGAGAGAGCTTTTCTTCTGACTGACAAGTGTTTGTTCACCTACAACAAGTGAATTGCAGTGCAGAGTTTACCCGCTCTATGTTATCCACATTTGCACACGTATATATATTGGTGAAATTCAAATGGGATTAGGGCTCTAGTACCCTTAGTGCAGATGTAGGGAAGCTCTGGCTCTCCAAAATTGAGAAAAGGGGAATGAGTCAAAATTCTCTTGTCTACACTACTATTAAATGTATAGAAGCTATTTCATCATTTGCACATTGCAATTTTTGTTTTGTTTTAATACATCTCTCTAGTTTTAGAAAATTCCAGGTCAGTGCTTTTCTTTACCTCCAACCCCAAAGACCCTGAACTATATCAGGGACCACTTTACAGAAGTTGGGATGTGATTTTCCTGAGGGCTTTTTTAAAAAATGAAAATGTACACATACATGTGGCAACCTGCATTGAAGATTGGAGAAATGAAAAACTGGGTGAAACAGAAATTGACAGATTCACCCATCCCTAACGCCAGGTCATTTCAAAGACTGGTTTGCTCCCTAAGATAAGCCCAACAGTTCTGTGAATTAGGTGAAGAGGAGGAGGGGAAAGGCAGCTCTTAAGCATTTGTTTGCCATTCACATTTTTACTGCAGCACCTCTTGAGCAGCTGTGAAGATGTAGTTAAACAAAGCTCTTCTCACACTAAAGTGTAAACAGAGCCCAGTCATGCTAATATCTCCCTTGTGTCTATTTTAGGAGAGGAGCCTAGACACACAAAATAAGCATTAGCACATTCTCACTTATTATGATCCACAATTAAGAGTGAAGTACGTAGCAGCTTTTGTTACAAAGGATTCCAAATGGCTACCAAATAATGTGCATTAAAAATGTGCCTGTGCGCATTAAAAATGTGCCTGTGCGTGTGTGCACATGCATGACTATTTAAGAACATTATGCTAAAAAAGTGAACAGCTATATAATGTGTGTTTAATACCTTCTAGTCCCCTTTCATTCTTACATACTTCTTCACTGAAAACACCCATGCATGCTATCTACAGGAATTACTGCCATATACCATACGTACACCATCCCTTGCATTCACACACCATGCTAACAAATATAAACAATATCATTTCATGCATTATGCAGACATAAAGGCAAATTGGTCAAGTGGTACACATGGAACTTTATCATGCCATGGTTCCAAAACAAGTGCAACTTCAGCGGGTCCTTGCCTTGTAAGGTAAGGTAAAGGACCCCTGGATGGTTAAGTCCACTCAAAGGTGACTATGGGGTTGCAGCGCTCATCTTGCTTTCAGGCAAAGGGAGCTGGCATTTGTCCACAGACAGCTTTCAGGTCATGTGACTAAACCACTTCTGGTGCAACAGAACACCGTGACAGAAACCAGAGCATACATAAACACTGTTCACCTTCCCACCACCGCCGTACCTATTTATCTACTTGCACTGGTGTGCTTTCAAACTACTAGGTTGTTAGGAGCAGGGACAGAGCAACAGGAGCTCACCCTGTCATGGGGATCTGAACTGCCAACCTTCTGATCAGCAAGCCCAGAGGCTCAGTGGTTTAGACCACAGTGTCACCTGTGTGAATCTGAAGCACTATTAGGAAAACAAATGCTCTGGTCCTCCTATTGACGTGCATCAAGAAGCCAAAACAGCCATAACTCACACAACTCTATTTTTCTCCATTAAAAATAAATAAATCTGTTGTTGATTTGATGTGAAATCCACTCCCAAATTTTAGCCAAATCATGTCTCTCCTGCAGCCTTTTAGTTCAATAACCACAAAAAGCAAGAGGATCAACTCACCTATAAGTAAGTCACTGGAACATAATATACCTTATACCAGGTCAGACTGTTTATCCAGTTATCAATATTGTCTACTCTGTCCCAGTACAAAGTTGCCCATTCTTTTATTATTTAGGCTTTAAATTAGATATGATGAACCTTTGGCCTTTCAGTTTCTCCCATCAGCCTTAGCCAGCACAGCCAATTGTCAGTGGTGATGGGAGTTGGAATCCAACAATAGCTGGAAGATCATCTCTCTGTCGATGTAACAGATTCTATCTATAGCAAGAAAATCCAGGGGATGAGTAGCTTCATGTCTACTTCTGAACATCATCACCCACTTTTTGGGGGGGCTATTGAAACCCAGTTGTCAAGCTACAGGATGGAAAGGGGTTCAAAGGTAACAACCAAGCTGTTAGCAGGTGCTTAGAGCAGCTGGAGTCATGCAGCCACCTGCTACAGCATTAGCTGTAATTAACGAGCTTATCATTAATTGCCTTACATGATCGTCCAGATCAGCACATGGGGAGCCTTTGCTCACATCTTGACAGTCTTCCACAGCTGAGAACATGTAAAGTGGGGGAAATTCACCGATATATTTCTTGCTTCATTTACACCTGGCAGAATCTCTACAACAAAGTTAACCAAGTGTTCTCAATACAACATCGCCATAACATTCAACAGGCTTGTCACATGGAGTGCACACTGTCCTTCCAACACAGGGACTGCGCCTTGATCAAAGGACTCAGCTAAACATAAAGGTGCCACAAAATTGTTGGTTTCCTGTAACAGAATACGGATGCAATCCCTCCTGCTGAGTCAACATCCCCGCAGCAACAGAAAGGTGGGGCAGGATGATCAGGCCCAGATTGGGCCCAATGCTCTTGCATTATGGATTCTGAGCCAGTTCAGCCTCACCCCTTCCTGCCCTCACTTACAACCTGCTCACACACAAAAAAATCAGTTCTCACTTCAGCCAACCAAAGACACCAACCACACCCTAAGCCACACCCAACTCTCTCATCACCAAGGAAATACAACAAGTGAATAGTATGAGAACCCATACGAATAACGCTGACACAACCCCTCACACACTAAGTAGAATAATAGAAGCATAACCACCCGACCACACCCCACTCGCCACTCCCTTCTTCTTCTTCTTCTTCTTCTTCTTCTTCTTCTTCTTCTTCTTCTTCTCCTCCTTCCTAATTGTTTGAACCAATTCATAAACCAATAACTTACCGTATACATTGACCACTAATAATGAAACCTACCTTGTAGATATTTTTCCACATTTATTATGCTATTTTTGTGATATACAAATGACATGAGAAAACTTGGTATACTATTATATCATTATTCCTGTTTATAAAACCCAATTACATGCATACATACATACATACATACATACATACATAATTGCCTGTTCCAGGCCTCTTGCCTGCCTGCCTGCCCATTTGACAGCCAGTGGGAAACCAGTCTAGCCAGGAGAGCTGGACAGAAAACATCTTCACATATTCTAGCACCCCACCCGAAAAAGCTTGACATAAGAGGGGGTGGTTGGACTATTCTGCTGCCCACAGATGTCAAATTAGGGATCACAGCTCTCGTGAACAATTCCATGAGATAAAAAAAATCATAGGGGTGGTGAAAAATTACAGGGGTTGATGCATTTGACTGGAGACAAGACAATAGGCTGTTGTTTTTTTAACAGAGTTGCAAAAGTGGTTTGAAATATATCCCGCCCCCCATAGAACATACATTTCTTTTAAGCTACTGTCTCCTCTGGCCAAACAGATTTTTCAGGTTTGAGAAAGAAGACAAAGTACCATAACTTGGAGCAACCATTTACTGCCTGTATAGTTCAAAGAAACCAGAGATATTTCCTCCTCAGAGGCAAATAGCTGCTTGATTGAAATGTGAATACTGCTCCTAACATCCCATATATATTTTCCCCTTCAATATTAGGGCTAAAAATTCTCATCTAATGTAAAACACACTAGAGATAAACCTGGTGTTACCTCTGACTGCAAGATTAATAAAGCTGAATTTAAGAAAAAAGTTACAGCATCCTGAATTAAGTAAAACTCTTCACATGGACAGCTTCCTGTGCACTCAATGCCACAGTATGGGGGGAGGAATCTATTTCCTCCCACCCTGCAAACGTGGGTTAGGGGACAGGTATGAATGGTAGCAGTATATGCTCATTTTTCAGGAACTAATGTCATAAAGAAAGCTGAATATTTGGGTGGAAGCTTTAACTGGCCACTGTGCCCCAGCATGGTGTAGTGGCTATAGTGTTGTGATTAGGTCTTGGGAGACCCAGGTTCAAAATCCCCACTCAGCCACAAAAATCATGATGTTCCCTCAAGCTTAAAAAACTTCTCCAAACTAAACCTGATCCATCTTGTATAAAAGGGGAAGGGGTCATTATTAGCAATGTTGTCGCCCACACCAGAAAACAGGATTCTGTATAGCTTTTGTTTCCATTTACATGGAGGGTGAGTGCACTGGTTGCTCTTCTGTGATTAAAAGATTTTATGTGTGTTTCTCCCCAACATCCCCCCATCAATTGATGAAAAAAGAAATTACACTGGGAAATTATCAAACGGGAGAGAACTTTTCAGTGAAATTCCCATGAATGTGCTGCAGGATTGTTGCTATTGTTCTTTTACTTTTGGGATGGCTGAAGAGCGTTTATATGTATCTTTTCTTTCAGTCTATAACTATTGCTCCAGCATTCTGCACTCTGCAGCCTTCCGAGGTTCCTAAAGTCAAGGGGAAGCAACCCCTTCAACGGTGCTTTTAAAGATCCTCAAGCACAAAAAGATTGGAGAGGTTTCAGAACACTGAAGAAAGGAAGTCATATACCCCACTCTTGACAGCCTTCACAATGATAAAGTAACCTCAAAACCCACTTGAATTCTAAAGAGCCCTGAGAATGATACAGAAAAAATGGAGGCTTCTTTTGCATGGGAAGTAAACCTTGGATAAACTGAAGGGCAGATTTCAGCACGGCACTAGTCTATGTACTTCAGGGATATCCCAAAAGCTGTGCTGCGATCATGTGCACTTGGAGACTTTGAACAAGTGGGAAACTTTGTGGCTGGCACGTTACTGATTAAGAAGCTGAAGGAGGAAAAAACAGATTGGGGTTCTGATTCACTTCATTTTTTAAAACAGAATGTTAAAATGCAATCTTTAGGAAAATCAATGATTGGTGCCAGTCACTGAACTCTTGCCATCTGCATGATGGGGATTTGAGCAGTGATTAATGTGCACAGGGCATGCAGGCTGGCACCTACTCAAAAAACATGTTTAGTTTTATAATTTGGAGATAGTAGATGATGACCATCCTTCAAAAAAGCCATAAGAGATTAGGATTATAGATAAACTCCTCATTAGTTCCAGCCATGTCAGAAGCTGATGACTGACACAGAGCCAAAGCAAATGACCAGAGATTAAAAGTTCAGTCAGTGGCAAATGTAGCCAAAAAGCAGGACTGATGGAGAAGAACAGCTAATTTCAGGACCTTGGATAAGATGTTCTTGCAAAGTTTAACAGTTCTGGCTGCCTTTTTTTGTGCCCCAATGTTTTCTTCTACCAGGATTTAAAAAACTCCCACTGACACTCTGCTAATGCACTCCTGCGGTACACCTACTTTACCACCGATGAAAATCTGTAATTACTAGAGACTTTGCCCATGGGTTATAATTGATTTGTCCCCATGAATGAGTGATAAACATCTATGTCAATGCCATAATTAATGTTGGGCATTTGATTTTAAAAAATTAACTGTTGGCATTACAGGCAAACCGATAGTACCCAAGAGATATTTATTTGAATAATATATAAACGGATCTCTCCAAAAGCACTTGGAAACAGTGTAACAAGCTTAAGGGGCTAATGATGAAATGGGAAAATTGGAATAAGGGTATGGTTTTTCTATCACCAATTAATAGGCAACAAGAAATTTACAACAGTTCTTACACAGAACCTAATTCATTTATATGCAACTACACTAAGGGGCAAACTACACAGTATATGGAGTTCAGTGCAACTTTCCATTTTTCTTCTCAAAGTTGCTCTTCCATATGCCTTTCTTCCTGCAGGAGAAAAGGGGTGTGTATGTGTGTGTGTGAGAGAGAGAGAGAGAGAGAGAGAGCGCTGAATGCATCTAATAGCACGTGAAGTTATAATTCTCTGTGTAGCTACTTAAGCTGCATCTGCATATTGTCTCTCTCCCTCTACACACACACACACCCCTCACAAGGTGGGGCAGAGCTACTACATTTGTTTCCCGCTTCTGTATAATAACAATATTATAATATCTGCTACAGTATAAACATAAACTGAATCTTTTGTCTGTGTGTTGTCTGTGCAATGGAGACCTGTATATTTTCAGCTTAGTTTTCCATGTAGAAACCACTGTTTAAGATTGGGTAGAATGAAGAGGCTACCAAAGGCAAACCAATGAATATGCTTGAAGCTCCTTTCCAATGTTTGCAAATGCAGGTGTTTAATTATATTTTGGAGACTACAGAATAGTAACTACTGGAAAATTCAATGTAATGGTTGAACACATGAGGACAATACAGAAAAGGCAAAGTGTGATGTACACTGGCATTGTCTTTTCGCCTCTGTACTAGAAATCATAATGAGATGTCATCCTGTGGGTTGGATCTATGGCCGAAATTTGAGCTCCTTTTTTTGATGGACAAGGTTAAGGAACATTATTTGTTTGCTGTTGGTATGATACATCAATAAAGATTCCCAAGTGGCACAATTATAATATAATATAATATAATATAATATAATATAATAATAATACTTTATTATTTATACCCTGTCCATCTGGATGGTTTCCTCAGCCACTCTGGGCAGCTTCCAACAAAGTATTAAAATACAGTGGTCTGTTAAACATTAAAAGCTTCCCTAAACAGGGCTGCCTTCAGATGTCTTCTAAAAGTTTGGTAGTTGTTCTTCTCTTTGACATGTGGTGGGAGGGCGTTCCACAGCGCAGGTGCCACTGCCGAGAAGGCCCTCTGCCTGGTTTCCTGTAACTTGGCTTCTTGCAGTGAGGGAACCACCAGAAGGCCCTCGGCGCTGGGCCTCAGTGTCCGGGATCACATAGTGAACATGACCACATCAGAATGCTATGCAGTGAGTCAGAACTGCTGTGCGATGACATCATTCAATGAAATAATTGCGATGCAGAGCAAGAAAGGGCAGTTTAAAGGAATCGTTAAAGGAGCATTGAAAAACTATCAAGAAAAGGAGGCATTTTTGACACTTTTGAAAATTGTTGTGAGAAATTATGTATAGTGTTTGTTCCACCCTAGTCAAAACCAAGCCCCTCATTTCTGCTGGGATACATCCTCTTTTATTGTAGACTTTATATGAATCAGAAACATAACAAATGGTGCTCAGACCTAACGCACTTGTGATCTATCTGCAAGCAAAAGTGTTTTCAAGCCACTCAGCAGTCTGCGTAGCAGTCACAAATCACTGGCTTTACTTATTACAGACTCAGCACTCTTAATCTTTTTTTTTCTTCCAGTCAACAAATTA